AGAGTAGAGTAGAGGACAAATAGAAATTATTTGTGGTTATTTTCCGGGGACTTCTTGCTCCCAATTTATAGAATTAAAATCTACAATCCATTTTGCCAACAATTTAGATTCGGTTATGTCAAAACATTATTCAAACAAGTAAAAATCGTCATCACTTGAAAGCAATAATATAGAAAAATATCAATTTTATACAATTTAATACAATATGTAAGATTATTATGAAATTTGTACCGAATTAATGACTCATATAGTGACAAAAAAGAAAAATTTATATAAATCAAATGTTTACAAATTTCGAGTTTAAATCGAGTTAATTAGAAAGAAGTACGATTCTAATATAACTCGATTAAATCATCGCCGTGCATTAGAAAAAAATCGCTAATTAAATATTTAAATCGAATCGTACAATTTCTCGTGTAGAAATTGCACTTATGTCATCGGGTAAAATGCGGGTATAATCAGTGAAATTTTAATTACTGTTAATTACATGCAAATAATTACATTTAATAGTTTGATTTAATACATTTTAATTTATAAGAAAAAAAAACTTAGGTCAGTAAGTGTGATTACTATAATATAAAGTAATGTTTGTGAATTTGCAAATTTCTGCTACTTATTTTTACTGTAATTAAATTAAAAGTGTTTACGTGTGATATTTTACAATAATAGAGTTTATAGAGGGTGTCCCGCATAAGAACCGAAACCTAGAGGAGTTTGTTTATTTTTTTAGCGTTTTTCATCAAAACGACAAAGTATTTTAAAAAACAAAAAGAATAAAAAAACTTATAAAATGACATTATGCATAAAATAAACTAAGAATTTTTTAAATCATCCATCAGGTAAAAAAACTGTAACATTTTAAGGGAGCATCATCCCTGGTGAACCCTTTAAACTAAATTAATCGATCTCTCCTAACTATTGATTAATGCTCTTAATATACAATCACAACGTATACCAAAATTTTAGTTGTTTTAAGTTTGGTATTACTATGATGGCTTCTGGGAATAGAACAAAAACAATGCTGGCTTACATGAGCATAAAATATAATTATAAAAAAAATTATTTAAAATCAAAAAAAGAATATTTTTATTGTTGATGAAACTCTTTAAAACAATCTTCCACACAAAGGGCCGGCTTCTCTTCACAGGTGGGACAAAAATATCGCGTTTCTCGGCGTAATTTTGCTTGGGTACAAACACGACATGGCTTTGTCGGACGCTGTTTCTTATCGGTAGGCGGCAGACTCTCTAAATAATGGAGCTCTTGCAATCTACTTTTTTTCGAAACCGGTTGAATCTCTTCTCCAATCAACGCGACGACGAATTCTTCTCTAAACTTTATCAGTTTGACTTTAGAAGAAGTTACTTTTTGATAAATCTTGTGCGCATTGTGCATGTATATCTCTATAATATGTAGTGAAACCTTCGTGGGCCATCTAATGGCCTTTCTTAGAGCCGTATAGTACGACAGCGTTTGATCTGATCGGTCAACACCAGACATAACTTTATTGTAATCTCGAATTGTATTCGGTTTCATGGAAAGTTTTCCATTGCGATTGATCACCTCTACCATTTCAACGGCATGCATGTTTGAAATGGTAAGGACATCTCGTTTGTCTTTCCATTTGCACACAGTAACAGGACCATTTTGCTGCCCAATACACTCACCTTTTGTCAGTTTACGATTTACTACGTCTACGGGAATTCCCTTTCCGTTACTTCGTAGGGTTCCACACACGTAAGTTTTTCGTGTATTTAGCAGTTTCGCAAGAGCAACGGAATTATAAAAACTATCCATGTAAACCGTGTATCCCTTATCGAGATAGCCCTCTAGTAAATGTAACACAACATCAGTAGCGTGATCCAAATTATGGTCAATTTCCTCAGATTTTCCGCTGCAAATTTTTATTTTCACTACAAGACCATCGGACTCGCACAGTTCATACAGTTTGACACCGTATTTATGTTTTATATTTTTTGTGTATTTGCTGAAATACAATCTTCCACGCCACAGCATCTTGGATTCGTCGATATAAATATTTTTATCAGGTACATAGGTTTCAAGCATAATATTATTGAAATGATTTAGTATTGGTCTCACCTCGTGTAATCTGTCGGTAGATGGTATCGAGTTATCGACCAAATGGAAATAACGAAGTAACAACTGGAACTGATTTCGACTCATGTTTGAGCGCCACAACGTTACATTGTACAGCTGGTTCCTACTCCAGTAATGTTCGATTGATGGAAAAGAACAAGGCCCCATTTGTAACAAAAGTCCAATAAAAACTCTCATCTCTGCAGCGCTGACGTCTGTCCACTTTGGTACTCTGATAGATTTTTTTAACGCTTCGAGTTTCGCAATTTCTTGCACGGCATATAAATTAGTTTGTTCGACCAGTAAGGCAAGAAACTCTTCCGAAAAAAACAAATCGACCAGCGTTTGCGCTGTAAAATTCGACGTGTCCAATTTCACACCAACATTTTCTTGGAACATAAACAATTCAGGATTTTGTTGAATTTCTGTCCACAAATTATCATTCGCGTTTGATGTTGTCGCTTGGAAATCATCATTTTCATCGGGTTCGGGGACATATTCACCTTCAGGTTTTGAGACGACTTCATCGTCACTATCACTTGAATTTTCAGAAGATTCACAATCGCTAATATCGTTACCATTCTCGCCAAAAATCTCGTCAAATTCTGAATCGCTTAGATTAGCGTTGTAGTCAGGTTCATTTTGATTCGATGGTCTTTTCGTACCCATATTGAGTTCTTGATCATTTATTTACCTATAACAATAAGGTACCGGTCTAATATGCGGTCTATTTTTTATAAAAAATATAACAAGATTTTTAAAGTTGGTCATTTTTTTCCAATCTTCGGAGGGATTTTTTCAAAAAAATGTTATACCAAGTACCCAGCACCTTAATTTTCATCAATGAATCACCCCTTAAATTTTTTCAGGTTATTTAGATACACCCTGTGTAATTAGAGTTTTTAATAGTATTATATGATTAAATGAAATTGGTTTTTATCCAGGATTTCTGAAAATTGCCGTGGCAGTCAACGTGTTAACAAATATTTACATTTTTAGAAAACATAAATTAGAGTCAGCACTTTTTTTTAAATTGCCTAATAACTTGTTATATTGCTGTAAAAATGTGGGCAATATGCGCTAATTTTACACGTTATTTCACCGATATTTATGTTTCAAAGAAGGTCACGCAGAGAAGAGAGGAATGTAATGAACATTCCTCAATAATATCTGCTTAAGCAAGCACTTATTTATTTATTATCAATTGCGTTTTATAATAAATTACTCGCTGTCGCTCGTAAAGGGGGCTCCGCCCCCTTTAAAATTTTTTTTTTTTTTTTTCAAAAAAAAAAAAAAAAATAACGCCGCCCATGGCGAAACACCCGCCGCTGGCCCGAACCGACGAAATCCATCGGCAACTTACCCGAGCGATGGAAAAGCGACCACGATCCCCGCTCCTTCCGCGGCCGACCGGGAATTCCTTTCTACCGTACTCCGGTGCATCGACAAAGTTTTTTTGCTATAACTCCGAAACGGGTTAAGATATCGTTATCGGGTTTGTTTTGTTAGTTGCACGAAACTTGAATTAATAATTTTGAAAGAATAATTTTTTTTCGAAAACCCCATAGTTTCCGAGTAAACGGAGTGTATTTAAAAAAAATTTTAATTTCGGCAAATTTTCATTTCCCTATAACTTGGTGACATATATTTTTGAAGAAACGCGATTTGCGTGGAAAAATGGCAAAAAAATCAAAGAATATACGGTGAAAGTTTGAAAAAAATCTGTAATGTAGTTTCGGAGATATAGGTCGAAAATGCCAAAAAAGTCGTAATTTTAACAAAAAATCCGGTTTTTCACCCGGAAGGAAACTTTTCCGGGTTTCGAAAAGTCGATATTTCGATAGATCTCGTCGAGTTACGTAGGATAGAATTTTTTTCCGATTTTTTGGCCCGCAAATAAAGCCGTAAAAAAAAAACACGCCAATCAGTCAGTGAATGTCGGTTTCGGTTGTATAGTTGTAGAGATTACCATTCACATTCGACTTCAAAAAGCACTGGAAACACATTACAAAACTTCAATACTTTTTTTTCACTCGCGCTCGAATCTAGTTTACCTACTTTACATTCTTGCACTTCATCTTAATTAGGCAATTAAGAAATCGTAAAAGTTGAATCAACTTACCCATGTTATGGCTTTCCCAAAGGCCTGTTTAATCCAACGGAATAATGCTTCGGAATACGAATACACAAACGCACCGGAGATTGCAATTTAAAAAATTAAAATCAACAAAGAAAATGCGAACTAAAGTCTAACACAGCTCGAACGTAAATAAATAAACCGAACGCGAAGCAGAAGCAAACGAACTAACGAACTACAGGGACTGTGACGGTGTTACTCTGATCTACTCTAGCCACCCGCTATTCCTACTCCGGATTGTCATTACGTGCTCGTCGCTCGCCAATGTTGCCAAACTTCTAAAATAATTTCTCTCTTTTACTCACTAATTTTTTTAAAATTTACGTTTGCTCAATTTTATGCTAAATATAAGTAAATAACTAATAGAGAACACTTTCTAAATTAGTTGAATTGTTAAAATAAAAGAGAAACAAATTTATTGGAATATATTTAATAAGTTAATTGATGTAAGAAACGCAGAATCCGTAGCATACAGGAAACATAGCAACGCTTGGCAAATGGCAACTTTAAGATATTTTAGATCTTACTACAAATTTATGCCAGATGAATATGTAATATTTTATACCAATAAATTTTACGGATTTTAATCGATTCAATTCAGTTTAAAACAATTTTTAATTATTAAAATGACATTTCATTATCTTGACGTTGACAGTTATGACTAATGACATGACATCAACAGGTTCGATTTTGTTTGACAACATTAGTGCACCTTCGAGATTATTTTAAATATTTTCAAACAACCGCGTTAAAAAATAGCAAAAACATGACGAAATACGTGCCTTATGTACTCTCCATCGTTTTAATAAGTTTCGTGGTTCGAAGTAAGTGGATATCTTAAAAAATCCCAATTAGCAATGGGTGTGGCAGAGGTTATGATTAATATTTTCCAGCTTCTGCAATTTGGTGCTACCAATGCGTTTCCACACAGCCGGGCTGCGGCACCCCCTTTAACTGGTTGTTTCATTGGACTAAAGTGTGTCCCGAAGACGACGATGTCTGTGTAAAGATCCTGGAGGAGAAGGATGGTACACATATCGTGTAAAATAATGTAGCATAAAATTAATTTCTTCTTTCGTTTTAGGCGAAACTGTTATAACCAGAGACTGCTTGAGTTCCCTGCAAGGTATTCGAACCGACATTCCTGCAGACCATTACGAAGGCTGTAGGCCAGCTGCTGTAGACGTTAAATTAGCCAATTACGTAAACAATAGCGTCAAGGAACTGGATATTTATAGGTATAATTGTTTATTTGAACTATTAAAACGTTTATAATAAGGCATTGATTGGAAAATAACTAACACACAAGCAATAGATAAGGATCGTTGGACTTTCTTTGAAATTTTATTGAACTGTGCTGTTTCATCAGAAGTATCGGTATCAGTTGTTTTATTTTATTGAAACTTAATGATTTTGTAAATAGTTAGCTGCTCGTACAGTATGGTACTATCAGTTGTCAAATCTTTTATCTTTGTATTGTTAGCATTTTTACTTCGAATTAATTTGAATAACTTATCAATGATACATTTAAATAAATGTTGTATTTGTTACTCAAGCATTTATTAATCGCGTTGTTGTTTGTTTTAGGAATTACTATGACAGTGTGACATGGTGTTTCTGCTTTTTGGATCATCGATGTAACAGTGCCACAACAGTAAATTATACTTTCGGTTTTCTCATATTGAGTAGTTTGTTGGCGATTTATCAACAGCTGTAGATGGCAAAAGTATTAACGATAAGCAACGATAATTATACAAAACTGATGAATACGTCCAAAAGTGCCTTTATCTGTAAAAGTCACAAGTACAATGAGTTTTAAAAATGCAAGATTCATGCACATTGGGAAGTAGAATAGCAATAAGTCGAGTTTATGAATTTATTATTTGGTTTGAATTTGCAATATTGGGTTTAATTAAAGAAGTGCAGCCAAAGCGTTATCAGCTTGCATTGCTAAATGTTTTATTAATTGATGTGTATTCATTGGTTTCTTAAGGACTTTTGAAAGAATTTTTGAAATCGTTTATTTACTATTTTTATACTATTTTTGACTCTTATTAGAATCTCTAGGCCAGTGTTGAAAATTTTACTAGCCCAACAGACTTTACTTTTGGAGTAAAGTGGCAAAAGCAAGTGAATTATTTAAGTATTGGCTATTTTTTAGTATTATTTTATATACATATAAAAAATTGACTTATTAAATATATCCGTCCATTTTTAAAATTTTTATATACTTTACAATTTAAACATTCCTTGCCTAACTTTTTATTCATTCCAAATGAAATGCACAAGATAAAATAAATCTTGTATGTCATGTTATTTGGTGTAGGTTTTTATGTATATACATTGTTTTCTATTTTGTATTTTTGTTAATTTTAATGAATATGTATTATAGAGAGCTAGTTAACAAAGCGAATCAAACTGCTGTAGCAATCCTTAGGTGTTTTCTGAAATATCTATTTATGAAATATGAACAGGAATTTAAATTTCCTGGCGTTTTGTTTCACTCTCTATTAGAACAGAATCTCGTATTGTTAAAAAAAACATGGCTTTAGAGCCACTGACAATTTATTTTCTCTCTTGTTTCAACATACATCAATTTAATATAGGAATTAAATGTAAATAAAAGCCCTCTCACTAGCCTTATAGTAAGCAACTCTGTAAATAATTACAAAAATATGTAATTTCATAAATTTTTTAATCAGTTAATAAATTGTATAATAAATATATATTTTTCTTTCAATAGACAATTTTAACCTTAACATCTAATTCATCACAGTATTTCTGCCCATTAAAACAAAGTTGCAACTATCGCACACCCTTACAGGCTTAGCAGAAGAAGGTAAAGGCATCGTGTTGTCCGAGCAAGCATTGCAAAATATATCTCCGCAATTTCGACAATGGTGCTACAAAAAAATAAAATTTAGAATACACAAATTATCACATTGAAGAGTTAATAAAGATAAACACTTAAATAAATGATTAGCGGAGGAATTCTAAACAGTTTACCTTTCTCCTTGTGAGATTAAACTCTTTAGTGCACCCCTTGCAATTCGTTGTACTATCATCCTTGGCCCAAGACCCTTCCGGGCGAGATTTATTCAACTCTTCCTTCATATCCGATAACTGCAACTTGGACTCCTTCAATTCTCCGCCCAATTCCTCTAGAGTATGTTCTTGCTCAATGCACTGGTCCTTTAGTGTATAATACTCTTCTTGTAGCTGGGCGTATCTCTGTTAAATCGCAAAAAAACTACTTTAACTTATGCTAAAACGTATAAGCAAACACTCCCGTTACCTGAGCGATTAACTTGAGTTGCCCGTTTTCCACTTGAAGCTTGGATATTCGCTCCCTGTCCTGCTGCATGGTGCTTTGCAGGGAAATCCTCCACTCCCGTTCCACCTTCAAATCCCCTTCGATGTTAGAGGCCTGCTCCTCCACTTGGGCCGCTTGAATGTCTACCTCACGCTTCAGTTGCTCGGCAGCCACGCGATTGGACTCGCTCTCGCGGTACCTAAAAACATGACTTAATTAGAGCATTTTGAGATGTTTGGGGTATTTGTAATAATTGGATCATTTGGGATATATTGATTTAGGATTTAGAATCATTTTGGGTATATTACAGAACGTGAGAGGAGTTGCTGAGTGTATGTTTCTAAAAACACAATTTTTGATGGCTTTTGAACTATTTTGGAATTCAAATGAATGAAAATCCTGCGAATTGAACACTATTGCATCTTTTTCAATCCTGCACTTTGTTATAATGCTGTACTATTAGTATGTCTTTGCATTTCTACTGGAACTCTTAAGCTCATCTTACTCTAATCTTCGAAAACTGAGATAAGCTGTAATGTAATGTAAGATGAAAAAAAATGAAATAGTGTAAAAATATGTATGGAATTAATGCAATGTTGAATTAATTAAACTAAAACAATAGTGTTTTAACTATTTAAGTATTTGTGTTAGTGTTGTTGGTTAAATAAAACATAAATAACGGTATAGTGGCAAACCTAAACTACAAAATAAAAGGCATAAACATAAAAATAGGAGAGGAAATTTAATAAAATCCGTTCGTTAGGGAAATTAATTTTATTTTTAATGTTTAAGCAAAAAAGTAGAAATCACAATTTGCGCTATACAAGGTTTACATCACAACGTGTAACATAAATCCTAGGTATGTTACAAGAATATAGTATATAAATTTATGTTATAATAAATATTATCTAACAGGTTAAAATACTAGTAGCTGCTTGTAGTGAAGGTTTGCCAACATTTTTTATACACTTTTATGTAGCTACATGTTTTATATTAGACCACTAAGCGTTACCGTAATAATCCTTTAACATTAAGTACGATAATATCCAATTTTATTCAACGAAAAAAAGCCTTATAGGTAAGCATGATATCACAAATGTCATGAGTTATGAATGAATTAAATGATCCTTCTTTAATTCGATTCGTAAGCCAGAGTCCTTCACAAATAGCTACCAAAATTTTACAAACCTAGCCATTCTAAAATAACTTTTGGTACCATTTATAAATCAACCCTGTAGATTTTCCAACATGCCAAAATGGATATACTGTTGTGTAGTTCAGATAATAGAGATATTTTCTTTGTCTGTTCGCCCCCCTGTTATTATTCCTCTATTATCCTGGATTAATTAAATGATATAGAAAAAAATGTGTCGTAAATTAAGTAACTTTTTTTGTTATAACTCAAAACTGTAGCCGTATAATTTTCATTACTATCAGTCTCGTAAAACTTTCTCTCTCGTAGGTTTTAAATGAGTCAAAAAAATGTATACCACAGATTAAAATAACGAATTGTGAGGGGCAAAATATCGCAATTTACGCGCTAATCTGTGGCGGTACGAAAGTATAAATAATAAAAACAATAAAAAAATATACCTACTTATTTTCGAGTGCTATTAAAGTTTCTGTCATAGATTGTGCTTTAGCCTCTAGCTTGGTTATAAACTCAGTTTTATGCCTCAGAGAAGCCTCACTTTCCTAAAATAAGTCAAAAATTATAGTTCGCCAATAGGAAACTGTCCCTTTTTCGTCCCTTGTTAAAACAAACAAAAAAGTACATTATAAAGCTTAATGATATACACAACATGTTCCTAAATTTAAGGAAATCTCAACAACGAATAGTAATTGATCGATTCATCTAATTGTAAATGCAATACGCCTGGAATTTGCTATATTAATTTTAACATCAAACATCCTATAGAGTTCGCTAGTTTATAACAACCAAAAATGAATCAACGATAACGAAATAATGTCGCTGATATAAAAAAATATATACATTTAGAGGCTACCAAGAATCGATTCGAATTCGATAAAGGATGAGAATGCAAAAAAAAATTATTCCTTCTGTTCGGGAGATTCCAAATCCAGATCGAGTTTGATAAAGGACTCGGTGGAATCGGAAGGAACGGGCTCCTTCAATTCCTCTTCGGGCGTTTTAGATTCCCTAATAGAAACCGGCCGGTTCTCCGACAACCTTTTATCGTCCCTATTTTGCCTAAGCGGCGGAAACCTTCGATCGGACGCCGATCGTTTTTCCGACGATTTCTTATCGTCTTTCAGCAGATGGTTGTATTTCTCGAGATTGTTGAGAATCTTTCCGATCTGGCCCGCTTTCGCCTGCAGTCGACTCACCATTTCACCTTTCTGAGTCAATTCCATCTCACATTCCTATAACCAGCCAAACTTTCTTTATAACCGCTCTTTTTCTCGCTAATTTGAAACTAAACGCAACTAAACAACTATAAAAAAACAATTAAGGGGCAACTCTTAATAATTGTTGAAACTTTGACCTCAATTAAAACCACTTTTCATGGCATATTTTCTAAATAATAATGTATTATCTGTATTAAGGGCGCCACTTCAGGGTATTTTTAAATGGGGAAACATAGGTTTAGTAATTCTAGTAAGATTCAAATTTGGCTTCATCAATTAATTTGAATCTTTTTTATGCCTAATATAGAGACTCCAAGCAATGATATCTCCTATTTTTAATCTCACTTTCTTCATTAAATATTTAGGAAAATTGATATCAAAAACTACCATTTATTTGCAATGCTTTTTAACTGACATCCCTCATAAACATCTCATCTTTTGTGGTAAAATTTTACCAAAATTCGGAATAATTATGTATTTGAGGGAGTGCTTTGGCGTCCTTAACAGATATGTTTAAACTAGCACAATTTATCAATTTAATACAGAATTACAAAATTCCAAAACAGGTCACTTCTCCTTTAGAATACCAAGAGTTGCCTAATAAGATGGATTTTATGCAAAATGTATAAAAAATACGAACTCAATAAAACGTCGTGCTTCATAATTGGATGATGATAAAATTGACGCAGAATGGATAAATGATAATGATGCTAATGAGCAAACAGCCAGAGTTTACGTGTACTTACTTGGAGTTTTCTATACATTTCTAAATTGATCAATTTAATATCATCTAATTGCCTTCTCAACGATATTATGGTGTCTTGTTTCTCGTGAATGTCTTTTTCCAACAGCTTCATGGCCACTTCCATTTCGGCCTTCATGCACATCTGGAACAAAACCAAACCAAAGGGTGTTTAATACACCAGCATAAACTTATCCTTCAGATAATACAGCCAATCGAATAACAAATACTTGCAAATTCTGTATACTTATCATACTTGTATTTCCAGCTCGTTATCAGCTTCCTTCCTCAGCCTTCGTTCCTCCTCTAATCTCTGCTTCAATTCCACGATTTCCCCTTGACTGATCTTATCTACAGCATCTTTGGGAACGGCGTCTTTTTCTTCTATTTTACCTGGCCGAATAGCAACCGCACCTGCGGCTGGTTTCCCGGGCTCCCTGCCCAATTCGCCCCTCAAGTGCCTGTTTTCATCGTACAGCGCCAACAAATTGTTCTTCGCAATGGCCAGATCCTCTTTCATGAGGGCGTTCGTGGTGGTCAAAGTCTCGACTTTCGTTTGGAGATTTGCCACGGTGGCGCTGAAATCGTCAACGCGTCAGTAACATCATTTGCACGCAGTTAAAGACTCACTTCAGATGCCTGTTCAATTCTTCGATGTAATTTTTCTGATCGAGCACCGTTATCATAGCGTCTCCTTGTTCTTCGTTGGACGAATCCGTCGAGACGTGACTCGAAGATCTCAGATACAACGAAAAATCTATCACGCCCTGAGGGCAATCCAAATCCTCCTCCTGCAATATAATTTGTTAGTAACAACGCCGCCGGTTTATTCGGGAATGTACCTTAACGCAAAGGTTACAATCGATGACATTCAGGCCTACAAGGAGCCCAATGATAACGATAGCTTCGTCGCTCAGCATCAAAGCGTCCGGTTCGAAGTACTCCACCAGGGCCTCGTCCTTGTGGTCTATCAGCACCTTGAGGTAATCGGCTAGTTTCTTTTGCATCAAGGCGATTCGAAGCCATGCTCTAGCTCTTCCCATGTGAGTTCTTCAAATAAATTCGTTGAATATTGATGATAATTAAACATTTTTACAAATATCCGTACCTAACAGTCGGCAGGTCCCTTACGCTAGCCGTTATGTCTTGTGCTTCGGGGCAGTACTTTTCAACCATCTGTAATATGTCCCATAATTCTTTCTTAGGACCTAATAAACCCTGAAATATATGGACATTTAGGAGTAGAATACTTGAGCGAAACGATGTTGGTACGGTAAACGTTGGGAGAAAGTAGCTGATACCTTTTTGGGTCGAAGGCCGTGTCTCAGTACGTGCTCCAAGACGATGAAGAAATGCTGGAGCGGCATGTGATCCGAATCGAGCATCCTGCCATATCTCAATGATTGTTCGATCAACTCCTTCACCACCAGCTTGCTGATATTGACTAAATTACTACGCTCGATCACCACTGGATCGCGACCTGAAAACATTTAAATAACGTATCAATTTTAAACATTTAAATATCGCAAATAATCCATCGGTTACGCCGACTCCGCTCGAACATAAACAACAAAATCCTGGTATAAAGCGAATCCTATTGGAACCTAAACGAAATGAGTCCCCCCCTTGGGAGAACGTACCGAAAGGATGCACGGGAATGTCCGGCGACGGCGTCGACAGCGCCTTGGTGAGCGACTCCTGCATGCTGAATTCGACGTCCTGCAGCTCCTTCAGGCAGAGCCATTCGCCGTCGACGGAAACGCGGAAATTGCACAGGTAGATCGTGTCCTGAGCGCCGGCCATCTCTTGCTCCATGGCGTTGGAGCCGGCCTCGGCTGGCAGCTCTTGAACTTTCATTCGGACGGGAGTTTTTCGCTCAACAAACGATTAGAGACGGCGTTGTCGCCAACATCTCGGGCGTAAGTCGTGTTTTCGAAATGCGCTATTTGATATCGATCGGGGGGAAGAGGGGGAAAGCGGTGTTCCGGACCGGGGGGATCGATAACGCGCCGGAGGAGACATCTGGCGGCGGCGGAGTTGGACGAGTGTTTGGGGGAAAATGCGTATTTTTTTTGAGGGGATGTTTTCTAGGGCACGGTTTTCATTAACTCCGGGAAGGTTTCCATATTGAGTGGGTTTAAATTGTTTTCCTGTCTTTTACACTTCGAATTGGGGCACAATAATATATAGATCGGCGCAAATTTGTTTGCAATGTGATCAATTCTATGAATTGAACAACTGTTAAAAGAATAACAGTTGTTAGAGTGAGAAAGTGGCAATCACACAATTATCACTCTATCTTTTTTCTTTATATGAGACTAATGGAGTTGCCTTTGTTGCACCCATAGACTATTTTGCGTACAAATTTGCACTTAACTGTATAATATCCATTTGAATTTGTAACAGGGCAGTTTCTTATAAAAAAAATTGGGAAAGTTAACAAAATAAATATTGTTCAATTTGGGACGTTTGAGCAAATATAAACTGTCAAATATCAATGTAGCTCAAAAAATAGATCATATTTTGGTTCATTTATATCAATTAGTATTTTTAGCCTCTTTAGGTAAATTTTCCCAATAATTCCGCCGTTTTAATGAAAGTTTTGATTTTTTTTAACACTTCAAGAAGTGTTTTGGTCTTTTTTGGAGCATGTCGATAAATTTCAAATTGCATTGTAGTCATATTGGACATTTTTTGCATTTTCAAAGAATATTTGTTCTTTATATCTTCTGTAGTTCTTATAAGCAAGACAATCTGTAGAATCATTAATCAAAAAAGCCTTTTGTACAGATTTACAATGGGTTCTACCTAAATCTAGATACACATGAAGTGAAGAAAGAACTTGTATGTAGCCTATAGTAATCTGGTGTATTTATTTTATTAATTTTATTTTGTACACAGACGGATACATTAAAACACCTAATTCAATAAACATGTGTTGATTTCGCTGCATTATTAATCAGTAAAATTAATAATTAATAAATAGGTAATATTGATAATATTCATCACAAATTTGGTTTATTCTGTTATCAAGTTACCTTGACAAGAATAGTAAACAAACACAAATAAACTTGTTAACACCCACTCTGTGATTAAAAGATGTACACTCTCATGGGTGTAATTTTTCATTTTATTGTACAGTAAATTACTCAAATACATAATGATACGTACCTCTATGTTTCTTTCCTTTCTTATAAGCCGTTTTGGAAACCAAAAGGGAGGTCCACTGAAAATTATTTACAGAAGACAACGAAGGTGATCTGGATCCATTGTTTCTCTCAACAGCTATGGAATTGTTAACTTGCGAGACGGGTGTTGTTGTTGGCGAACCTTCACTACAAGCAGCAGCCATACTTTAATGCCTTATTTAATAATTATTCTAAATATTTTTGAACATATTGGAGATTATTTATTGACATTTTCGATTTGACAAGCACCACAAATCTGATATCTTCTTTTTCGTTAGTCTGGCCACAATTGTATGTGCTATTCAGTCTAATTGATCGTTTTATCAATTTTCGATGAAAAATTAGAAACTCCAACGAAATCGATGAGAAATAAAATGCAGTAGTAAATAATTAAAACAGGATATAATTGATGATTTAAGAAACATCACTAATTGATTTTTTTATTAATGTGTAATAAGGTAATGATCAAAAGGACCATTAAAAATTATTAAATTATTAAAACATCATTACTGAAAAAATAGGAGTTCAAAATGAAAATGTTTCATTATTTCGTTAATGAACTTAACTCTATTAAGCACAATTTCCCTATTAACATTTGATATTCTGCAATCGAGTCGAAATGATGAGGAGAAAATTACAAAATAGTAGAATTGGATTTGAATCCATGACAGGTAATTAACAATGTACAATATTTCTATTAAATCCTGCTCATACGAAAATTTGGGCTGTTCTGGTTTAGGCTATTCTGATGGGGTACCCCGAAAATTTCTACATTTTACTAAATATCTGAAATATTATTCTTTGATGGATTTTAGATGATTGTTTTTTCTTTTTGCGAACGGCAATTTTGTTCGATTACTGTGTTGCGTATCCAAAAATATTTTACGCATTTTCTTTTGCTGTGGGAATGCACATGGAATTCGACTTATTAACTTTTCTGTACGAGATAATATTTGCTAAACCGTTAAATAAGGAATACGCATTTCAAATCGTCGGTTGCCTCATTGTACAGCCTGTAAGTTTCCTATAACACACGTTGATTAGAAATACATAATACGATATTTTTCCAGTTCGCCGTAATGGCATTTCTCAACCCGATTTACGCAATGCAGTTCAAAAACATCGGCGAGTACATAAGTACATCCTTCGGATCCCTAACAACTCGAAGCCCCCGCTTCAACAAAACCATTTCCTTGATCATTCTCAAGACGAAATTGATATTTTTCAGCGTTGCATCGCTACTTTGCATGAACGCCTACGTATTAACCGCGTTCAACATCGCCTACGACGGGCCGAAATTATACGTTGTCATGGAGGTTCTGTTAAAATATCAAAATCATTATGTTGTTAATGCCATGATTTTGTTATCTACAGCAGCGACCGCTTTTCAGGCCAACGTGTGTTTGTCTTTTATAATCTACAGCGCTGTTCATGTAATATGCCAGGTGCGCTTACTGCGGCATTATTTGGCGGAGACTATGAGGAACTTAGAGCACTCGTTAGATGACGAGATGTATCAGAAACATATAGGTGAAATTCTAAAATTCACTGTAATGCAGCACAACAATATTGCTAAGTAAGTTTCGGTCGAATTGTAAGGGCAAAATGTGCCAGTACTTTTATTAGTAAGCTAATTTATACATTGTGGTGCATAATTATAAATCACAGTTTATTCGGCATATTATCACGGCATGTTCAAGAACACTCAAGAAATATTAATGAAGATTACTTCTGGGTACTTTTTTGACACACTAGTATATTGTACTTATTTTTAGATTCCACAAATACTACTTACGTTTAATGAAATTGCCTATACTAGCGTTGACTACATTAGCTGCAATTACCTTGGCAAGTTGCTGTTATTATCTGTATGCAGTAAGTGTGAAATTAAATTTATTAAACTTATCCTTACAACAAATTCTTAAGTAACGGGCAAGCAATAGATAAGCTCCGGTTTTATATTTTTTTTGATAGTTATTTCTATTCCAGGACATCAATCCTTACTATAACGTACCCATGTATGGCAATATCGGAATAGCTTTGATTTTATTGAGTACTTACACCCATTACGGGCAGTTACTATCAAACGAGGTAAATGTCATCGGTTTGCCGAAATCGGCGCAACCATTCACGTTTCTGATATAAAAATTACAAAAATTCTGATGCTTTTATTATCGAAAAGTATTCGCGCCGGTTTCTAATATCACACCCAAATGCAAATGTTTCTATAAAGCACTTTTTCTAGTCCGAAAATCTATATAAAACTCTATGTAAAACACCTTGGATTCATTGGAACAAAAAGAATCGCCAGTTTTTGCAAATAATGCTGATCAATACAAAGGATCCCTTAGTAATTAGCCTGATTCAAAAGCAATCTTTTAATTACGTCTACAATTTAAGCGTGAGTATAAATCACTACATTTATTTTCACTTAAAATCTACGGCTTTTGTTGAGTTGAACTTTCTGTTGTAGTTAAAAATGTCGCTGTTTTATGCTGTATTTTATTCTATTTTCAGGTAATGCGGTTTTGCTATGGTGTATTCACACTTGCAAGAAGTTTATAAATTTGATGGTAAATGTATCGATTTATTTGTTTGTTTACATCATCATTAATTCTGTTAGAGGATAAAACAATGACCCCGATAAATGCACTGAAGTGCAACGTGCAACAAAATCACTGCAACTAGTATAATATTTTACAAATAAATACATCCAACACATACGCTGTACTCTGTCTATGTAAAACCATACAAATATGCAATTTAGCATATCTGCCAGTTAGAAAATACCTTATAGATAAACGATTTATCTGCGTACCCTAAATGTAATAGACCTCAAAGCTTTCATTTGTCCTTCTTAGTTTTATCCTTTTCCTTATTGGCAGCCAGCACTTCACCGGGGGCGGGGTAAGGCCGCTGTTGGAACAACACTCCAGAAGCAGTACTGTCGGCTTTACCTTTGTTGTTCTCCAGCCCTTCGCTCCAACCGCCTTGCGGAACGTCCGAATAGGCAGCGGGATCCATCGGATCAATGTCTTCTTTCCTCTTCTTGTGCCTTTCTTCTCTCCTCCGCCTGCGCTCCTCTCGCTCCCTTTCCCTCCGATCGGAGTGTTTGCTCCTGTAGGATCTGTCTTTATCTTCGTCGTCTGAGGATCTGTCTTTGTCCCGGTCTCTAAGGGCTTTGTCGGCGTCTTTTTCGTTGTCGATGCGCTCCTCACGCTCTTTCATTTTGAGCCGGTTTTCGCGTAGTTTGGCTGCGCTTTGGCACTTTATGGATTTAGGGTGTTTGGGAGGGAGCCAAGAAACCAAGTCGTTCTCCATGTTCCAGTAATAGTACCTGCCGCTGAAAATGGATAATTTAATATTATCGTGATTCAAAAATAGGTAAACTTAATACTTACATGCCTTTATCAAAAACTTCGGTCCAGTTACCGGGTAACGGGTACTTCACCAGCAATCGTTGCATGTTCTTAAAATACTTTGGGTCCGGTGTAGTTGTTCCTTTCCAATGATTTTCACACCAAACGTTGCATTCGTGGTAAATGTTGGATTTGTTCGGGCATGTCGATAAACCTTTGAATTCTTGTTTCTTGAGCGAAGGTTCAGAGTTTTTCTGTTTTGCTGTAAAACAAAACATTGCAGTGTCTTGTTGAAAATAATGAAATTATCACTTACCCGATAATATGCCTCTTTTGTTAAGTTTGGCTAATAAAGCCGGTGGAAGCGGCATTGTTTATTATTAAATATCTTAAAAATTGGAATGAAGTAAAATATAACAAGTTACAAATTGTTAGCACTGATTCTTAGGTTACAATTTACAATCTTCTTCTTTACATATTTTGATTCAATTGGTTACATGTGGCCTAAATTGTATTTGGCTACGGTTAATTGTCAATGTCATTCTCATTGGCTTAAGTTATAATTGCTATTCGACAATCAAAAAAATTACTTTTACTTGTCGTTTCTAAAATTTAAAAGTATTGTAATATTTTATCTTCGCTATAAATGTAATATATTCTCTATGTATTGCATTATATTGAAATTTCATATATTTTCTTTCATATGACACTGATGACAGTGACACTTACGTTATTTGCCGATTACATTAATACAAAAATAAACAAAGTACATTCAAGATAAATGTAATTAATCTATGGTATTGAATTGATGTTCCAATTCGATCCTTCTATTCTCTAATCAATATAATTTGAGAATTCCACTGTTAACTAGTCAAAGACTGCTACTGTCAATCTACCCCCTAGCCCAGCCCACTGTATTTGTTGTTGGCCCATCTAATTGTAAGGATTTTTGCGAGTTCGAAGGGCAAGTGGTTAATATGGAATAAATAATTGCAGTTAGTAGATTTGGAAGTGATTAAAATTCCAGCAGAAATAATATTCCTTATAAGTCAATGTCAATTTAACGTTATAAACATTAATCTGTTAGACAAGTACCTTGTCCGACTGTAAGCAAACATTATGATTATTTTATTTCCCAATTAAGTCCAGTATTTTTCAGGTTTGGATTCTTCTACAGTACCGTCGGATTTATTCCTCAAATCATTTTGATTGCCTTTGTAGTAAGCCAGATTATTTAATTTGAATTTATGCCTCGCTAGAATTATTTGAAATATTCGTACAAAATAGTTAATTCGTAACAGAAAACTGAATTTTTCCCAACAGTATACACTAAAATGAATTCTACGTATGATCCAAGTCCCGATAATAACAATTGCAACCAAAAAATTAAGGATGAAGAAATTTACACCGAACATAAAAATCGAAATAACGAAGAAGCTTTAAAAGAAGAATGTAATAATTCAATAATATCCAATTCTCAAATAGATTGCAATGATGTCAGAGTTAAAGTGGAAGTAAAATCAGAATTAGAAGATAATTACACTAATAACGAAGATAAAAATAACATAAATTTCACTGACACCATAGGTATGAAGCTCGAAAACGATGAATTAAATTACGATAACAATTACCGTGTCAACGAAATATGGCTAGACGATAAAAGTTTGATAAGCAGAATGAGCGATAGTGATTTACTAGAAGAATTCCATTGTGAAACACAACTAGATGAATCTTCCCAACAACTCGATATCTCGATGGATAACGAATACCAGTGCAATATATGCCAAAAACCATTTAACGAAGAGGCTACTTTTAAAATGCATTTAGCAAATCATTCCGAGGGAAAAACACATCAGTGTATAGTTTGCCAGAAATCATTTAAAACAAGCTCCAAATTAAACGTTCACATGCTAATTCATACAGGAGTAAAACGATTTCAGTGCCACGTTTGTAAAAAGGCGTTCACTCACAAACACGTCTTAAAAAACCATTTATTCGTTCATTCCGGGGAAAAATTCCAATGTAACTTCTGCGACAAATCCTTCACTAGAATATGGAATTTAAAAAACCACCTAGCCACTGAACACACCGGAGAAAAAAAGATCCAATGCAACATTTGCCAGAAATCGTTCACTACCAACAACAATCTCAAAGCACACGCCGTAATTCACACGGGGGAAAAGAAGTTTCGCTGCGATATTTGCAAAAAATCCTTTACTCGCAACAACGAGTTGAAAAACCACTATTCCGTTCACGATCCGGAGAAGAGACACCAATGCAGCTTCTGCGGGAAAGCGTTTACCAGAAAGGCCAATTTAAATTCTCATCTGTCCGGTTTCCACAGCCAAGAAGGCAAATTGGAATGCGACATTTGCAGCAAAACCTACGCCAGCAGCGCTAGTTTAAAAAAGCATTTAATAGTCCATAAAGGAGAAAGAAACTATCACTGTGTCATTTGCCAGAAATCGTTCGCTCGTAACAACGAATTGAAGAATCATTTGCTGGTGCACAGCAGTGAAAAATACCAGTGTGACATTTGTCCGAAGTCCTACAGGCGCTCCGATGATTTACTGTCCCATGTGGCTGTTCATACGGGGGAAGCGAAGTATCTATGCGACATTTGTCCGAAGTCTTTTACTCGTTCTTACGGGTTAAAGAGGCACTTGGAATGCCATGCAGGAGAGAAGAAACATCAGTGTGTTATTTGCCAAAAATCGTACTCTACCAAAGGGAATTTAAGGGCTCATTTAGTGAGCCATACCGGTGAAAAGAAGTACCAGTGTCAGTTTTGCCATAAATCGTACGTGCGCAATTACGATTTAAACACTCATTTATCTGTTCATACAGGCGTGAAAAGGTTTCAGTGTATCATTTGTCAGAAACATTTAACTAATAGAACTAGTTTGAAAATACACATAGCTACGCATACAGGAGAGAAGAACTTCCAGTGTAATATATGCCAGAAATCGTTTATTCAGCGTATTAGTTTAAAAAAGCATATTTTGATCACCCACCAAGGAGCGAGGAATTACCATTGCGATATTTGTCAAAAGTCCTTTACTAGCAGTTTAAGTCTTAAATACCATTTGGCCCTTCATAAGGGCGAGAAGAATTATCATTGTAATATTTGCCAGAAAGCGTTCATACAGCCCAGCGCCTTAAAGACTCATCAGCTAATTCATACGGGAAAGAAAAAGTACCAGTGTAATGTTTGTCAGAAATCGTTTATTCAGCGGAGTAATTTGAAAAATCATATGCTAACTCATTGTGGTGAAAAGAAGCATCAATGTAATATTTGCCAAAAAACGTTCAAGTACAAAATTACTTTAAAAAGACACTCGGCAATTCATACTAGCGAAAAATGTGAGGTAATATTCGAAAGCACGAATTCGGATAGCTTGTAAACCAAAAATTAAACAAATGTATTATATGAATTCCAAATAGATATTTTCTGTATTGTAATAGATTTTTTTATTTATCAATTTATCAATTACTGTCCTTCTACATCAACATATTTTCTGTAACCTGAATTTTCCCTAGATTTTTTTCTCATAATTAGAATAAAAAATAAAAAAGTTTTAATTCAAAAATAACATAGAACCACAGACAAATGTTTTCTTCTTTTTTCTTCAAAAGATTTTCCTCTCTTCTTTTTTATTATAATTGATAAGTAAGAGATATTCGACAAATTTACCTGTCACTCCAAAAATTGAGGTACGGCTATTTGATCTTTTACATTATTGATATTCGGCCACCAATTTTCCAATTTGAGGTTAAGTAACAGATGTAGCAGAAATAATAATGGCAAAATTAACAAATCTAATATTAATCAAAGTGCTTTTATTCGTACTGCAACTACAATTTTCTCGTGCCATTTACGAAGACCAAGTGGGCAAATTCGACTGGAAGAAATCCTTCATAGGAAAACCCAAGTTCGCGGAGATAGAATCCAAGAGAGTGGTAGTGATAACCGAAGAGAACGTTCTAGCATGCCTGAACGCCAAAAACGGCCAAATACTCTGGAGACAGATACTGGAGAGCCCCAAAGAACACGACGTGAAGCTGCTGCACCTGGACAAAGACATATTCACGGTGTCTGGTGGCAGCAACAACCACTGGATCGTTAGGGGTTGGGACCTAGTCAGCGGGTCTCTGACCACCGAATGGCCCGTAACGACGCCCTCCTCCTCCGAATTTCTCATCATCAACGGCCGATTGGTTGTAGTAACCCCGATAACCGGTTCGCACTTGGAGGTAACTTCTTACCATCTCTCGAGTTCCCAGGCGGATAATTCGTTAAAAATTCTTACACCCTGGTTGACGGATCCTTCGAATTGCATATTCGCGAAATCCTACTACGTTTGCATATCCGGCAATGACTATTTAGGTCAATTATATTATATTGATTTTCTTTCGGACAACGATACGGTGAAATCCAGATCGATTCAAAGCGTTTTCGACGGCGTCTTAGGCCCGGTGTATTTGCTGGGATTGAATTTATGCACGTCCGCTTTTCTACTAGTCTCCCGAAACAAAAACAAGCTGATAGAAATTAACGATGGCAACCTCGAGATCAAATCGTACGATGTTTCGACGAGCTCATTCATCGATAAAACTGAGAAAGAAACGTTGTACCAGTTAGAAGCGAGTACCAACCCCGGTAAATTAATCACAGTAATAACCAAAGATGTCACGACGGGACAGGAATTGTCGAAGATCGATTTGGAGTATCCCATCGGCCTGGGAGCCCCGACTATAATATCCAGTCTGCATAAGAACTCCAACGCTTACCTGCTACTCAGCACGACCGATAATGCTTTACTTCTGATCAAGCTCCCCGAGGGTAAGGTACAATGGACGAGAGAAGAGGCCTTGAGCGACATCGTAGCCACCGAATTCTTCGAACTGCCCGTTTCTGAAATGGACGCCTCCATCGAGAACGAGTTCAAGACGAATTCGAACAACGCCTTCAACATGCTCATGCACAGGCTCACCAGCCAAGCGAGGCAGCTGTCGAATTTTGTGTTCGGCAGCCAGTTATTGTCCGACAGCGGCCTGGTGAGGGACGAATTCGGCTTTCATAAACTCATTGTCGTGGCTACGAAGGTGGGAAAGTTGTTTGCGATCGATACGATATCCGGTTCGATCGCTTGGAGTTATAGGCTACCCAACGTGAGGCCTTTTGGAGTGTTGGACGAGGAAAAGATGCTTCTGTTTGTTCAACGAACTGCTAGGTAAGGATGTTATTTGTATATAATAATTTTATATTATGGTTGTGTTGTGTTTATTTAAGGTACGCTCCACTATCGGCGCAATGTATGCTCTTGGCGGAAGATTCAGTTTCTGGAAATTCCATAGTATTTCAATTCGATCCCATAACGGGTTACTCGAAGACCGGAATAGAAAAATTGAACTACAAAATCCTCCAAGCCGTTTTGCTGCCGCACGAAGACGAAAACAATCTAAAACCTGTCGTACTGATTTCATCCAACTACGACGTATTCGTTAACCCACAATCAGCCAAATCCTTAGTGTACGAACACATCAAACAAACCCACGTGTTTCTGAGCGACAGCGCCAGCGGAGTGCTGAAAGGCTTCAATTTCCATCACAGCACTGAGGACAACTTCCAGTTAACGCCCACCTGGGAGGTGAAATTGAATCCCTCAAAAGTGGTATCGGTAAACGTCAAGCATCCCCAAGAAAGGGTGCATTCGCAAGGAAGGGTCCTGCCCGACAGATCCGTTTACTACAAATACGTAAACCCTAATTTGATCAGCGTGGCTACCGTCAGCGAGGATCCAGTCAGCAAGCACGTCCTCAGCGTGTATCTAATAGACGGCGTGACGGGTTTGGTCATGTACTCGGTGTCCCACAAGCGGGCCAAGGGGCCCGTGCACTTAGTGCACTCGGAAAACTGGCTGGTCTATTCGTACTTCAACGAGCGCTATCGAAGAACCGAAGTGGTATCGGCCGAACTGTACGAAGGCCGCCTGCAGAAGAACAGCACGGTGTTCAGTTCGCACGCCGTCAGCGTTCTGCCGCACATCCAATCGCAATCGTACATTCTGCCGGCGAATCCCGTCACGTTCGCTGTCACCCTGACGGAAAAGGGCATCACGAATAAATTCGTGCTGATCGCCCTGTCGACGGGCGCCGTCGTGGAGATACCGTGGCTGTTGCTGCAGCCGCGGTTCAACGAGATACCGTGCGGGCCGGAGGAGAGCTGCATTCCCTACATGCCCGAGATACCGCTGCCTTCGGAGGCGGTCATCAACTACAATCAGACGTTGAACCGAGTGAGGGGCATCGAGGTGGCGCCGGCCAGGCTGGAGAGCACCAGTCACGTGCTGGTGCACGGCTTGGACATGTTTTATACGAGGGTGGCGCCGTCGAAGACGTTCGACGTGCTGAAGGAGGACTTTGACCATTTGATGATCGTTTTGGTACTGACGGGACTCGTAGTGGCGAGCTATTTCACCAAATATTTGGCGTCTAAAAAGACTATGAAGATGCTTTGGAAATGATAGGATGTGTTTGTCTAGTCGAATTTCTGTTGAGTAAGTTTTTTTTTATGATTTATAGATGGATGGGAATACACAATATTGCAACAAGCTTATGTCATTGTTATGCTTGTTGCATTATGTACTAATATTCTTATCCGTTCAAATGTTCCGAATGTTAATATAAAAGTTGAAGTGATATTGCTCAAAACGTATTTTTTTTTGTTGTAATTTAAGAAGTTTGGACCATTTCAGCATTTTGTTGTTATTAATTTATAGGAAACAACACTACACTCTAGAGTACAATAATAATATTAATGTAATGTTATACGTGAATGTGGTTCAAAATTGCACTAAAATGTAATTGAGACGTTTCTGTTAAGTGTAAACAATAAGAGATTAAAAGGATGACACCCTAACAAAAAAGCTCCTCCAATTTGAGCTCAATTTGCTGCTAATATCAACTATTAGATCAAATTTTGACTTCGGACATCTTGCATAAATTCACTATTTTAGAATATAGTGCCTAACAGGATTTTAATAACTTCAGTTTTATACTATAAAAAAATTATGTTTATTAACACTATGCAAATTGGTAGATTAGAAAATTTTGTGGAACAATCACATTCTTTTGTATGCTAATTTATCAGGTAATTTGTGATTCAATTTTTACATTAAACCAAAAAACAATATAGAAAATATGTAAGGACTTATAATTATTATTTTGTAGATAAATAATTTGGGTGTTAGGTAAAATTTTGTAGTCGTACACGTAAAATCTTTCTGTAGTCTACAGAAAAGAGATTGTGGATTGTGGGTATCTGTAATAAAGGTAATAGGAAAAAAGTATTGTTTAAATTATTATTCACGCTTGGAATTATTTTAATTTGTAATTTATCGAATCGAGTCATTCCTTATTTGTTTCTAATGATTAATTTCGCATTGCAATCTTGTAATATCATTGATCAATATCGTGTGTTCGGATATGTCACTTTTGTAGCAATATATGTTTAAAATAAATATTAAAAATTACAGGTTTTTTTATTCATATAACAATGGAATAATCAAATATTAACTTTTGGATTGCGTTATTCATAAACATTTTGGAAAAATCATAAAATTTGAAAATTGCGGCACTCATTCTGCATTTCTATTGGACATTTTGAAATATGACAGACAATGTAACCAATAGAATTACAGAATTATTTTTGTTATTGTGGCCTCAACTGACAGGGCTATTTAATTACACAAATATAAAATACAGAAGATGATATCGATGACATTTGACACGTAAACATAACTTCTCTAATCTTTTTCCAACCATGCAAAATCCAAAAAAATTAAATTTTTAATAACAAATTAGAATTAAACCATATGTGTTAATCAGAATGGAATTAAAAGCTATTCTATTCATTGGATCAGCATTCGCTGCGTCTATTTTACTATTCGTAAGTTAATTCATTAAAAATCTAAATTTTATTCTAATAAAATATTTATTTTCAGGTTTGCATTCTTCTTATAGCTACATCTAAGACTTACCCTTTAGTATTTAGAAGTAAAAAGGAGAAATATTTCATTGATCCTTTAACCGGTAAACAAGTACCATTTCCTTCCTTAGACGAAAGTTCATCGATTCATTTAAGTGTCATTGTTCCTGCTTATAATGAGGAAGTCAGACGTAAGGGCAATTACTATGTACATAAAAATATTAGATGTCGTTATATTAGATTATTCTTGATAATTGGGACATAATTATATTTCCGTAGTTCCTCCCATGCTGGACGAATGTATAGAGTTTTTGGAAAAAAGGTGCAAAAACACCGACTTTCAATACGAGATCATCGTAGTAAGCGATGGTAGCAAAGACAAGACTGCAGAAGTAGCACAAAACTACGCGAAAAAACTGGGCTCAAACAAACTACGAGTGTTGGATCTGGAAACTAATAGAGGAAAAGGAGGAGCCGTGAGATTAGTACGTTTCACTACGATTTCTTAATACGGGGTGTTAATTGAATGCTGATACTTCAGGATGTGAATATTTGGATGATTTTAAGAAGAAAAGTTTATATCAATACATATCCTCAACCTCTTAGTTTTCGAGCTACAGGGTGTTATCGGCATTCAATTAATTAACACCCTGTATCTCTAGTTTATTTCATATAATTGTTGTTTAGGGAATGCAAAGTGCCAGGGGATCTGTACTCCTGTTTGCCGATGCCGATGGTGCAACGAAATTCTCAGATTTGACCAAAGTAGAGGAAGGACTAGTTAATCTAATCAATTGTAAGTATAACCTATCAACTCTCAATTCATTTTTATTATTAATGAATACACTTTAAGGTGATTATCAAAAGCGGCCTTCTACAGCCGAACACGAACGTGCCATTTCGATCGGGTCCAGAGCGCATTTGGAACAGGAAGCTTTAGCTACTAGAAGTATCTTTAGGAACATTCTAATGCACGGATTTCATTTCTTAGTTTGGATCTTCGCCGTGAAGAAATTGAAAGACACTCAATGCGGGTTCAAACTTCTAACCCGGGATGCTGCCAGGATATGTTTCGATAGTTTACATGTCGAAAGATGGTACATAACTGATTCTATAAAGAGTAGCAATATAATTCTATGTACGAGGGATGTTTCCAAAGTTCTAATAATCAATCCACCTATATACAGCAGGTACTTTTGGATTCAGTAAACTCACCAAATACTGTTTGCATATGCTGAATGATTTCTGATTTCTCTTTGAGACTTGGTTCTCACCAATAGCGTTGCATCTGTGTGAGCTGCGGGTTGGTGCTATAAGTTCTGCCTAACTCCCAGAACTTTGAAAATATTCCTCCTATTATGTTATGTGCATAGAATTCTTTATTATGATTCATAGTTGTTTTGATGATATAATAGGTTTGTTCCTACAAAAAGTCACTGATTTGTTACCAATAAGTTTCTGACTCTTCTATTTCGCATGCGCGGTTTATGATTGAATGGTGTAATCAAATTTCCGATTTCTTGATGGAACAGTCTTTACATTTATTACATATTCACCAAGTATCAAACAAAAACAACAAACAACATAACCTAATAATTAACCTATATTCAGAAATACAAATTAAACCCGAATTGAAAATGCGCTTGCGCCGGATTCTAAATCTCTGTACTATCAGCAAATTTTTCTGACTATCACAAAACCAGTCCCTTGAACTGTTGGAACAATTAATTGTTAACCAAGTCAGAATCAGAGATGTCTGTGGAGTTTGTTGGAACGCCTAAATTATTACTGCGCAGACTCCTGACGACCACCGACTATTTCTGACTGTTGTAGGAACAAACCTATTATAAAATAAATTGTTTCAGGGCCTTCGACGTGGAACTATTGTACATTGCGCAAACTTTGAACATTCCAATATGCGAGATAGCAGTGAATTGGACGGAGATCGACGGTTCAAAAGTCACCCCGGTGTGGAGTTGGATTCAAATGGGAGCCGATTTGGGTCTCATTTGGCTGAGATATACCATTGGAGCGTGGAAAATTAAACCGTCGAAGAAAGACTAACGTACCAAATATTGTGTATTATTGCGTAGGAATAAAAATTGTTTCGTAATTTTACATGTTTCGTGAAAGGTGTTTTAATATACAAAGCAATCCTCCAGGTTGATCGATCTACCTATCTTAGGGGTTCTTATCCTGTAATATTAGTTGAATTTGGGTATTTAGGCATAGATTAACAATGTTAGAAGAAGCTTTTAGGTTCTGAAGCATTAATTTTTTTAATATCGTTAATAGTGGGCTCTTATCTCAGAAGGAAGTTTTGTCAATACTCATTAAAAAAAGGTATAGGGGTAAGTGCAAATTTGTTTGCAGTATGGTCAATTCTATAAGTTGAGCAAGGAAAGATTACTAAAATAACAGTTGTAGGAGTGAGAAAATTGCAATCCTACAAACACTCTTTTTCCTTTATGAGACTAATGGAAGTTATCTTTGTTGCATCTATTGCCTAGGTTTACATGTAAAATGAGCCGCACACTTATAATGAATCTTCCTGTACATGCTATCAGGGTGACTAATGTGTAAAATAAAACTAAAAAAATATTTTTGTCACAAACGTAGCTAGTAAAAATAGCCAATTATGAAGTAAATTTATTCAAACTAGATATTGATAAAAGCGATTATTTAAATCTACTACTTTATCATTTAAATAATAGTTTTGGTCTTTTGAGATTATACAAAAATGAGCTCATTTTAATATTTTCCAAAATAAAATCCCAATTTTCGACTACGAGTTTGCCCGCAAATCGACACCAAAAAAAAAATCGAACATGCATACGCGTAATCCGGGTTGCCTACCTCTAATCGATTCGATTTTTATTTTTAATTTGAGGTTAGGTTCCATGTTTGAGGAAAAATAAATTACAAATATCGCGTAAAATGGACCGCAAAAAGGAGAACGACCTCTTGGATCCCGACTACGCGGCCACCAGCAGCGCCCTGCGGGTCAAAGAGCAACAAGGTGGGTGAAACGCCGACATCGCCAACGTCCCCTTTTCCGCCGTGACCGAACCTTCTTTTCGCAGATAATAAACTCACCGCCGACAGGATAAACGGCATCGTCGTCGAGATATTCGACGAGGAGCTGAACGTGCGCCAGAAGCAGCTCGAAGAGGTCGAAGAGAAGATATTCAAGGCCCAGAAGCTGTTGCACATAGTCCGGTACGTGCTGGTCACTTCTTACTACAAAAAGAAAAACTTGGAGACCTCGCCCGACGACGAGACCCTCTCCGTGGGCTTCGACAAGCAGAGCAGGATACATCCCGCTGTGAAGAAACTCCTAGGCAGTAATTCTAAATTAGATGTATTTTGTGCAGGTACAAACACTTTTCTTTCTTCTACTTAATACTATCATTATTAGTATCATTATAGCATTGTGATCATACGATATATCTTCTATATTATTATAGTATATACTAGGTTTTGAGCACACCTATCAGGTGGTCTGGAACTATTAGAAAACCAAGTTACTACAGATTAGAGGATTCGGAATAGTACAGAGTATCTCCAACTTTACTGTAATCTAAACAATCTGAATACTGGGGGAAGCTATTACAGTTATAATTCTATAGAACAACCTTATTTTAACTCTATTTTCTTCATCAGGTAAAGGTAAATGAAAACTAACTTCTAGAATCTGTGATATCGAGAGCTCCGGTTTACCAATAACGAAAATTATTAATATAGTGTTACATGATACGATATATCTTCTATACTACTATACTACTAGGTTTGTAGCACACCTGCAGGGTGGTCTAGAACTCTTAGGGACACAGTTACTACAGATTCGAGGATTCGAAATAATACAGAGTATCTCCGAATTTCCTGTAATCTAATGAATCCAAATGCTGGAGGAGGCTAATACAGCAATAACTCAGTTGATAAATGTTACATTAGTCCATATTTATAAAAATGAAGCATTTACTTTGATGTAAAAGGTAGAGGCAAAAAAATAAGAGAAAAAGGTTCTAAAAACCATAAAACCTTTTGCTTTAAAGCAACAGCAGGGTCCTCGAAGCAAAACCTCTCTTCCTTCTCTTCTTTTTACGCATACACCTTGAAGCAATTCCTTCATTTTCTGAAGCAAAAGGTTGTCCTTTTTATAAACACTGCCTATTAAATCTACTTTCTTCTTCAGGTAAAGGCAAACGAAGACTAACTTCGAGAAACTGTGATATCGAGAGCTCCGTTCCGCCATTGGCGGAAATCAAGAAGCCCAAACTAGAAGTCAAAACGGAGGCCCCGGCTCCGGCTGCTCCTGCTGCGATTAAAATTTCGGACCAAAGTATCGCGAAGAACAGGAAGAAGACCAGGCACCGGTTGATAGTGGGGAACATATCGAAGTGGGTCCCATCGTCGGAGGACACCACCACCCACAAGTGGATGATGTACGTGCGAGGGGACAAAGACAGCGCCGACGTGTCGCATATTATAGAAAAAGTTATATTTTACTTGCATCCTTCGTACAGGCCTCACGACGTGGTGGAGGTTAAGTAAGTGGCCCGTTCGATCGCCGGATGGTGGAGCTAATCGTGTCGTTTTTCCAGGGAATCCCCGTTTCATTTGTCCAGAAGAGGCTGGGGCGAGTTTCCCCTGAGGGTCCAGATTTTCTTCAAGTGCTCCCTGAACAAACCAATCAGTATTGTGCATAATCTTAAATTAGAAAAGACATTCACTGGACGTCAAACGTTAGGTAACTATCCACATATACAGGGTGTAAAAAATTATTTTGTATGCTTTAGTAAATACAGATAAAATTCTAACAAGAATGGTTGAAAATAGTAGAAACATTATATAATTTCTTAAGCAATCTTAGATGAATTTTGGAGCTGTACATATTTATGGAGTAATTTTTAAATTGCTTGATAATCATTTTAAATAAACTTTACTCTATTTTATATAGTGTGTCCCAAGATGAAGTTGACGAGAGGAAACAAATCGTTATTTTCAATTTTCTGAATAAAAGTTTTTCTTTATCAAAAGTCCTGCTTGTTGAAAAGATAAGTTTGTCGCATTAAAATCTGGAATCTGTTGTACAATATTGCAGGGAAGGATATAGAGAGAATCATTTTTCTTCGCAAAATAAATTTATTTCTCTCATCTACCCCATCCAGGGACACTCTGTACATTACTTAAGCACTTCAATTATCCACAAAATGTCTGTTCCAGGTAGCGAAACTGTGGTAGACGTGTATTTATACGACAACGTACCCAAGCCAGAAACAATCACCAGACCTGTAGAAGATACAACGAATGAAACCGACCAACAAGAAATTCTCAACTACTTCGATTCGCCTCTCAGCCAAGATTACGAAGTAGACAACCAGTCGTTTGGCGACCCGCTAACGACGACGTACGAAACCAAACTGGCCCAAACCCGCGTGAAATCCGAGCCCCTGGAACTCGACCTGCCCTCGACCAATGCCGATTGCGAATCAGCCGATCACACGTTCGACGAGTACGAGACCCAGCAGAACCTGGAAGTGGAGGAGTTGTGCATAAAATCGGAGCCGTGCTTGCTGAAAAACGAGTGCTTTTTCTCGGACTTGGGACAGTCTTCGAACGTCGATATCGTTTCGACGCGATCGGACTCGGCCTACGGTTGCTCCGATACGGCCTCGATGAGCTTCGAGCACGATTACTGCGACGTGGTCGAAGAGCAATTCGCCGATAACGAGATCATCGAGGCCAAGGACGATCTGTTCTTGGGCCAGTTTCTCCTGGAACATTCCTATTCGGTGCTCAGCGGCAGCGAGAATCCCGACAGTAGCTTAGAAAACCTAACGAAAAGCCATTCTGTGATAGTTAACGGTGATGTCGATAATAAGTTGATTTTCGGATTGGGAGATGCCTATTTGAAAGAGAAGAACGTCGGTATTCGTAGCGTGGTAACGTTGGATTACTATTCGTTAACTTCTCCGTAATTTCCTTGGTTTTTTTAAGGTTCCTAATTTATTGATTCTCCAAAAGCCTTTGAAAAATTATCGGATATTCCTCCTGAACGGTTGCCTGGGATCCAAAAGCGCTCCTTCCTCGAGCCAAGCCGTCACGTTGCCGCCAAATAAGTTCAAGAACGCCGGGGAAGCCCTGCCGTTTTTGATGAGGAGGTTCAAGTTGTGGAATCAAAACGCCCAGAATCCGCAGTTTAAATTATTGTACCCCTTCATAGCCGCATCGCAAGAAGAATTCCGCAACTGGCCTCTGGGCAAACGTTTAAATTCAGAGGTAAAGGGTTACTTAATCCTCATAGGAATAATTTGGGGTGTACTTTTATTTAATTTGTCGGCATAATTATGATCTTGTTTTAGTGGAATCGCGCAAAGGAAATACGAAAAATACTAGCGGAGAAGTTTCCTACTTTGAAAAAATGGAACACTCGAGCTTGTTTCGTGTACGCGAGATCCCATAAATACGAATCGTCCCTGAAGGTATTGCCCAGTTTCTACGGGAAGCAACCCCACGAATTGGAGCTCATCGATGATTGTTTTAAACGTTCGGTGCATTTGTTGCACGTCGAAAGGAAGAGCCTCGGCGCGGACGAGCAAGTAGACGTAGAAGCTGACGAGAGTAAGCCGAAAATGCGCGGAATATTTTCGAAAAATTCACGACTTTTGCATTTCAGATGCGATATCGAAGGGCGAAAGGTCGACGTGCATCGATATCTCGGATCCTTCGCTTAAAAACCAATGCGCCTTCGTCAAAGAGGCGGCTTTGGATTGCGGGGTGGTGTTGAAAAACGAGGAAATAACGGAGGGTGTGATAATGAACGGGGCGGAGAGGATGATTTTAGAAGCTGTGAAATGTTTAGCCGAAGGCCTGATAAGGAGGGCTAATCATTTTTTAGTCACTAGGAAAGATTACAGGTAAACTTTGTTTTTTATAGAGCGAATGGCATGTTTTAGTGCATAATCTGTTTGTTTTTTAGGGACGGTGTTAGTGAAGTTACCAAAAATGAAGTGTCAATTGCCTTAAAGGAGCGATGCGAGCTCGAGTCCATTGAATCCTTTCAAAGGAAAAAGCGTCAGATAGACTATTTTTCTTGAGCATTTAAGACTGTTAACAAGTTTGTCGAATGTAAATTTTATTTGTACATTTTAATGATGTATTTATTTGTAATTTTATTGTTTCACATTTACCTATTAAAGCCTTTTTAATCACTCGAGGTGTTTGCGATCGATTGAAGAACGGTGTGGATTTTTGTATAACTGTATATTAATTAGTTTACTTTTTAAAAAATAACATATATACAAAACTTAAATATAATAAGGGATAAAATAAATTTGACAGAGCGAGTAAATGCAGTAAATGCAATTTCCAGCGGATACCTGTTCCGCTGGACGCCGAATTTACTGCGGATTATCAATATTTTACAAGTTTTTCTTAAAAATTATTTAACATAAATGGTTTTGATAATTTTTATTAAAAACTCTCCTCACTTTGCATTATTCCCGCTATATTGTCATTTCAATTAATTGTTGCAAATGCCCTTATAATAAACTTAAAATTGAGTACTGGTGATATAACGCCCACTTTCAAATTTTGTAAATTAGATAAAGAAAAATCAATATACAGGATGGCACAATTATTATAGTGGCACTCAACATTAGGAGAAGAGAGAGCTTTGCAAGAAAAAACTGCACCAGTAATTAACAAGGAATTCAATTTAATTGTACGCAAAATTCGATTCTCTTTCAACAGAGATATAAAATAGAACTCACTTATCATTGCTTCCTAACTATTAGATAACTAATGAAGAACTTCATTGTTTAACCCAAGTTGCCTCTAAATAATACAGAAAAAAGATTCATATGAACGAACCTTTTGGGTACACTCGAATCACGAAGATAAAGTTACCCATCAGTTACCACACAGTTTGCAAACCTGAAATTATCAACCAAATTCGCACAAACGTCTCCGGCAACACCAACAAATCGAAATGACAACACCGACAAACCCTTCCAATTCCTTAACGACTATCGATCCCCATTCTCCGCAACGGCCTCGTTGTTATTCACAACCTTGAGAATCTTCAGTTTCTCCGCCTTCCTCTCGGCCGCCGTCTTTTTCAAACCCTTCATCTTTCTCGTCTGTATCGTCTTGATGTTCTGTTTGCCCATGTGTACGCGACCGTGTGTATTGCCCAGCTCGTCAGTGCTAATGTTCTGCTTCTTGATCACCCGCAGCTCCTTCGGCTTGCGACAGGCCTCCTTCATCAGATCCTCGTCCGGCAGTTTGCTGCGTCTTAGTGTGAAATCGACTCGGGGACCTAAAAAAATTACCGTATGTTGTAATTCGTGCATTAAATAGTCACCTAGAATGTGTCTTTATGTTACTAGTATGTAGTAATGGCGGTGGCGTAGATTAATGCTGCACCCCTTAGAGGTTAAAGACCATAAAAGCGGAGCAATTCTACTGTAATCGATGAGCGAATGAATGTACATACCAATTTCGTCCAGTTCCACCCGCGGCGTTTTCACACCAGACTTTTTAAGTATGATTTTGTAGGACCTGAGCAGGATTTTCCCGTCCGGAGTGGCGTTAAAACTAAGGGTGTGCTCTAAGCCTTGTAACCTAATATTCTCTACGGTTTCCCTATGAAAAAAGTCGATAAATAAGGATTTCAGTTGCTTCAGTTCGTCGGTTTGCTCCCAGAGCGGGCCGTTGAATACGAGACAGGGTTTGGTGCCGAGCGTAATGGACTCGGCGAATTCCTTCAGGCCGGTGAAGGATTCCACGTATAACTCTATCATGTCCAGTAAATTGTAGTTGAACATTCTGCCTATGACTAGATTGTCGGGGCGCTTTTTGCTGTGAGAGCCCAGCATGAATAATGGAGCTTCGTATTTCCTACAGACATCTTCCACTGGCTTGGCGTTTTCGAACACTGTGATGTCGTGTTTTCTGTTCAATTTCACGCCGTCGGGTTTCTTAAAGTCGTGCAGATCCTTGAGCAGGGCTCGCACCTTCTCCGAGCACTTTCTGCCTTGGAAAAACAGCGCCCGCTTGGGACCCTCTACCACTTGCGGCTCTCTCTTCAGCAGAACCCTTTTACCCCTACGTGTGGTGGGTTTGCTGAAATAAAAGCGCGGAATAGTAGAAAAAAACGATTGATGTGATGGATGAACTTACGCCACACGCTGCCAAACTGACATTTTCGTCGCTTTTCTATCAATTAACTCGGTTTTTCTATGGTGAATTTTCCACTACACGTGTTGACAACCACATATAACCTAGCGAAAACGATGAACGATGTTGTTCGGGTGTCTTCGGTACCGATCGGCCGTTCGCGGGACCATCGGCCGGACAAAAAGTCACTAAATTTTACGTCAGTTTTGAAGGCTACCAACGTAGCAACGCAAAGTTCCACTAAATTGGTTCTTAATTCAAAACATGTTAGTTGTTAGTACACCTGCAGGCATGCGTGAGTCACGAACATAGGCGGAGGTGGTGGGAATTTAATTCATTAAATACAATTTGTGATATTTTGCTTTGAAATGTAATTAATAATAATTAAAATGTAAACTGGTAATCTTATTTTTTTAATCTATGAATCACTGAGTGTTTTTTTTAGTATTATTGGTGTCATTTAGAATATAAAAAAAAGTTAAAAGTATAAATGATACGCCACTAATAAGATCATCGTCTGTTGACTTGTTTTCTGTCTAAATAACAAAACCCTTTGGAGCATTCTGATTGGTCCGATCAGGATCGGCTCTCAGGCTATAGGTTGGCAGTACTGTAGTGGTAGATTAAACTGCTTGATTTTAACCGGTTTTTTTGAATATACCAAAATGATGGTAGATGGTAGGGTATCCAAGAGGCATCATGAGAACGGAATTTAAGAAAAAAATCCCGAAGAAAATAATTTGGTAAAGTCCCTACAACATTATCGATGGTAGATATAAGAGTTTATACAGAAAAAACTTAAAGAAACCGTAGACAAAATTAAAATATTTTTGAATGAAAGTAATTATCATTAGGTTTGTTCCTACAAAAAGTCACTGATTTGTTACCAATAAGTTTCTGACTCTTCTATTTCGCATGCGCGGTTTATGATTGAATGGTGTAATCAAATTTCCGATTTCTTGATGGAACAGTCTTTACATTTATTACATATTCACCAAGTATCAAACAAAAACAACAAACAACATAACCTAATAATTAACCTATATTCAGAAATACAAATTAAACCCGAATTGAAAATGCGCTTGCGCCGGATTCTAAATCTCTGTACTATCAGCAAATTTTTCTGACTATCACAAAACCAGTCCCTTGAACTGTTGGAACAATAAATTGTTAACCAAATCAGAATCAGAGATGTCTGTGGAGTTTGTTGGAACGCCTAAATTATTACTGCGCAGACTCCTGACGTCCACCGGCTATTTCTGACTGTTGTAGGAACAAACCTATTATGAAGAGGATTACCTTTGAAACCATATTTCAGACAAAAAAATATTTGACGAGGTGACTGAATAATGTCATTAATTAAATTGGAGTTACCAATAGAAAACAAAGTAAAAAATATTGTGTTTCATTATTCGATACTCTGTTGAATTTCATTTATTACTAATAATTCATTATGTATTGATCATAGACAAAATATACTGCTCCACAAAAATTAAGGAAGTTTACAAATATTGAGATTAATTTAAAAGTTGCAGGTTTTTTGATCGCCAAATTTTGTATGAGTTGTAGAGGTAGGGACAAAAAATCCACTCAGGTATGAGAGAAGACATTTAATTTCGCATATTTGAAAATTTGCTGATCAAAAAGTCTGTAACTTTTAAAATAATCGCAAAATTTGCAAACTTCCTTAACTTTTGTGGAGCAGTTTATAAGAAAACTTTCTTTCTATGGAAGTATTGACTTTTGGACTGAAGTCTATAAGGCATATTTGACCAAGGAATGAATATCCGCCCTTAGATCATATATACTAACGTTAGTATAACTATCCGCCTAAGTTATTTAACGTAATAGTAAACGAAGTGTAAAAGACCATCTTTTCCTTTCCTAACAACTATCATTCTTATAAGTAGTGACTCAACGAAAGCTTTTATTGGTCTGCAATTTAGTAAAAATCGAGCACTGTGATTCGCTGGACTTAATGACGTCACTGGGTACACTTGACGACGATTTTGACGTAATTTCGAATGACATTTGACGCACGTCAAAAGAGCGTCACCTGAATTCGCCAAGACTCCAACACCAAACGCCGAAAATCGATATTTCCCAGCGAAAAGTCTCCGTACAACCGAAAACCCATCGGAAAATCGCAAACACGAAGGCACCTTTACGCGGGAAACATCCATCGCAGTTGGTCCGGCGGCCGCCAGATGGCTAGCCAGCTAAACGCCCGGCTGTATCCATGGCGACGACAGCTTCCACAGGCAGCACACGTCGAACGCACGAGTCGTGCCGGTCGGTGTTCCGCAGTCAAGCAAAAACTCCGATGTGCGGGAAGGAGAGGAACGGCTCCTCCGCGATACGATCTTCCAGTGTGCTACCTTGCCGTCGATCGCCAGGAAAGCCGCTTCGAATTCGGCGAGTGTTCGTCCGTTTCGCCGGCGGGATGTCACCCAGAAAGTAAGCACGCTACTGGCTTTTTTTTCCTCTCTCTGGAATATTTTTTTTCGGGATTTTTGAGCGAGCCCGTTCGCGCTTTTATTCGGATTGTGGGTGTAACTTTATTTCGGGTGCTCGGTGCGATATATGTTTTTTGGTTTTTTTTTTCATTTTAATGCTCGTTATGTTTTTGCCAAAGCCGTGAAATATCTCGGCAGATGCGAGGGAATATTTTTAGGAATGTGGCCGAAAGAGCCGTAAAAATCGAAATTTAAAATGCACAAGTCGGTTATTTTACGATTCGCCCGAAGGAAATGGATTATCCGCTGACACTTTGCCCGGCGCTTCGAACGTTGCTTCAATGTTTACCTATAATTTTCCGTTCGTTTACAATCTATTAGAATTTCGTGTAAACACAAAAGCGTATTTTCTTAAAAATTCGAAATTCGAAATGCCATAATAAACTCATCTTTATAGGTGTTTAAATATTCCTACTGTTCTCCATTGGAGAATCTTTTGAACAAAAGTAGGCCCTGTAAGTCTAGGGATGTTCAATCTTCAGCGGAAATAAGTTGGTATACTGTTAAATCTAATAACTTCCTAGTAAGAAAACTGGAAATTAAAAGACGTTGAACAATTGACTTTAATTTTATTGGATATCAACAACACTTCAATCTTGAATGATTTGAATACATCCAAATTAATATCAATGAACTTGACATGAACTCTAGCAAAGTATGTTTCATATTAAGGACTTTATTTTATTATATGAATATGCCTATATGAGTATACGTAATGTATAGATCGACAGATATAGCTAGAGCTTCGAGATGCGCTAACATATGGCAGGCAATTTGATGGAACTTTTGGAACCTTTTGAATTATTTACAACTGGGTTCATTACACTGTTTAAAGAACTTTCAAATAATGAAAATAACGTTGAAATATTATTTTAAAATAATGTAAAATAAAGATATCTTTACTATATGAGGGGCACTGAAACTTTGATTGTACTACCCTGTTCTCTGTTCTCTGTTCTCTGCAATGTTCTCTGTTCTCTGTACTCTGTTCTATGTTCTATGTTCTCTGCTCTCTGCTCTCTGCTTTCTAAGCTTTACCCTCTATTCTCTACTCTCTACTCTAGTCGACTCTCTACCCTTCTTTGAAATGCTTTTTAGACAACATCAAGAATTTTCGTTTGTACTTTTTAACACTCCCTCTATGTGATATTTATAGTTTAGATAGACTAATATTACTTTTCTACGTTTACTAAAAATATTACATATAGTTCACATATTTCCAAATTTCTCGATTTGTAGAAATTAAATTAAAGTTTTCGGGTACCTACTCAATTAGGTTTGTTTTGTTACTTTTCGATGAGGAATTCCGGTACACCGCCTTTAAGTTGCTGTGGATATCCCTTAGACATTCTATTGTAATCATAAACAATCCAGAAAGAGCCCTATCTGGTAAAACTCGCTGGGATTTCAGCGACTGAAACTGGGTCCGAAAAAGTTTATTGAAAAATAAACAATTAACATAAAATCTAATCGATCGTTTGCAGCGGGAAAGTTCTCGAACTCGTAAAAAAGGAGAAAATAAATACTGTCTATAATGATAATAACAGTAGCAATAATTCGCGTCCGAGCCGAAAAACATTGTTCGCAGAGAACAATAATAACGGATCCCGCGCTTGTTGTTGTTAAAAGCGCGCTTCCATCAACATCAACTTTTATAGAAATTCCCTATTTAATTCCCGCCGACGGAACAACCCGAAAACGGGCCGTATTGTGTAAATTGCGCGCCGTTACTAAATTATATTACTATATCATTTTTACAGTACGGTCATTTCGCCAATAACGTTACATATATCTTTCATTGTTCGTTTATCGGTTTTATGGGCGAACGTTGTTTCGGCGGAATTGGAAAGACACCAAAAGGAGGGCGTACGAGCCGGCATAAAACGGATTACGGGAGGAGATTTTATGAAAATCTGTCGGTCAGATCGTAACTGGAAAACATTGATTAAAGAGAGACTATGAGAGAATGTACTCTAAGGCATAACACTGAGGAAATGACCTTAATAAAAGTTCGTACTTAGGGGAGATTAACAGGAAGATGTTATGGAATGAATAGGAAGAAGCCGCACAATTTGGTGCTGGAGGTTTTTAGATTCTAGTGGCTCCTTTGTTTGTGTTAAATACAACATTTACAGGGTTATGAATAATAGTTTTTCATTAAAACTACAAAAATATAATTAAAACAGTAAAAATCTGGCAGAGTAATTAGAGTTTATTAAAGTTCTATGTTTGGGTTTTTATGTGTGGGTTGTGGCTCACTTAAGTAGATAATTGCATCAGACTTTAGCCTATTTAGTCTCATTTTAGCCCACATTTGAACCAAAAAGTTTGTTTAGTTCAGTTTCACTTGGACCCATTTTAGTTTATTTAGTCACATTTTCTCCCAAACTTTGATTCATTTTTTCCTATTTTGCTCAATTCAGTTTATTTTACTTCTATTACTTCTATTTTAGTTTATTCTACTTTTATAAGTAGATCCCTTTTAGTCTCAAGTCCATTTTATTCCAAGTTTATTCCAAGCACTTATTTTTACTTATTTTGACTCATCTAGATTTCATCATGTTGTGTTCCATTTTAGCTCAACTTTGAATCAAAAAGTCGATTTAATGTTTAACTATTAGGCTCATTTCAGTTTATCTTGGTCTATTTTAGCTCAACTTTGAACCAAAAAGTCTAATTTAGTTCCATTTTACTGGGTCCAATTATAGCCTATTTATTCTCATCAAGTTCTTTTTTATCCCAACTTGAGCTTATTTTTACCTAGAACTCATTTCAATTTATTTTGGATTAATTTTAACTCAACTTTAAACCAACAATTGTCTATCTAATTCCCTTTTACTTGAACTGATTCTAGCGTTTGTAAACACATTGACTAATTTTATCCTAACTTGCACCCATAATAACCTACTACACATTTTAAAATAACCATTTACCAACATTAATAACACCCCAATCAACATCCATTTTGTAGCGGATAAAACATATCCTCTTCTAGCATATTCCGACATTGAGTAATCTTAAAGAGTCGATTTTACGCTTGCACCAAATTTATCACTCTAAAATCTCCAAACAAAGCGATTTTCCCCATCGCTTTTGTAAATTTTAAATTGCCAGTACTTCAAAAGTCTCTTAGGCGCCGTTCGAAAAACGAGAGTTTATATCGTCAAAGCAAATCGGCGTCAATCACTTCGCATTCATTACGGCTATTATCATTATCGGAAAGCACATTTTTCTAGCGCGCTTCAATTATGTTTGCATTATTGGCGGGTGATTAGCATTATCGTCAGAAGTTTAATGGAGTTAGTTTTCGTCTGTTGTAGCATTCTTCTTCTTGCTCGCGTTTTATCCTTTGATGTGAAGGGAATTCGTTTTCGCGCTGCATTTAATGCGCCTAATAAAAATACGTTTTCACCTCTATTGCCTTATGTCGCATGTTCGATAAATACGAGTATATTACTATTATTCCATTAGATAAGAGACGAGGCATTTAATTTAATAATATAGACTAGATGCCGTGGGGAGTCGTTCCAATTTATTACCGCTATTGATTATTAATTAAACAATCTACGGGGATTCGGGTAATGTTATTAAAATTTTTCGATCACATAACCGTTTTCGTGTGTTGCCTGGTTTCAGGATCGTCTATTTTGGGCTAGGCTTTTTTTAGTATCGTTCTATACAGAGTGTTTGATTTCAGGGATGTTTTATTCGTTGTTAATTCCCGTGATGACTTCATAAATAAATGTCATTTGTTAGGCATACTCACTGTCGTTGTCAGGGTTTACTTGGATGGTACAAAGGGCGGTTGAATACATGATGAATGTACTCTCTACAATACCCGTTTAATAATTAATTAACTCTTCCAGAAATTCGCTGTCCTCTGAATGAAAATGCGAAATTCTACTTTTGCTAATTTCCGTCGACGCGGCTACTTTGCACAATTGCCATGCCCATACATTTTTAATTAGTTTAATTTGCCTACCTACACGCCCGAAAAATGCGATATTCATTTCGTATGCACACAAACAATTTCTATAATGTTCATTAGCACGATGGCATGGGACTTCAAAAGAGCGGAGTTTTCGAAAATATAATAAAATCAACAGAATTGCGCCATTACCGCCTTTATAAACAAATAAAAAGCCTTGTTAAAATTCTATTTCGAAACGGTTTTTGTTGTGCCCAATGCCCAATGTAAACGAAAATAATTTTAATCATTATGCAAACAAATACGATATATTATTAAACGCATATGTAATATGTAAAAATGACGTAGGCGCTGTGCGTTAATTATTTAATTGAAATAACATACATACAGGTTGTCCCAAGAGGATTGTAAACTAACCCTTTTTGAAAAAATAAGGTGCGATATTTTTGAGTGAATTTGTAGCAATATATTGTCGAACGTTTCGCTCGTATATTCAAATTTCGCTAACTTTCTTTTTCTATTATACTCGCGGGTGAAGTCCCGAAGGGTTGTTGATGTTTGCTTCACATATTGTTTACATAGTAAATAGCCAATAGCGTGTCTAATAATTCAAAAATTTTATGCCCCAAAAGGAAGGGATAGTCGTGATGTGTAGATTACACACCTAACTTTTTCTACGTTTAGCGCTTTAGGGCTGTTTAAATGGTTTATAATTAGTTTTTGATGTTATTAAAGTTGATAATCGAGTTATCTATTCATTAGTATAACATTTAAAATAGCATATTCTGAGTTCTGTACGATTATAACTTTATTTTTTTACTTTTATTTTGAAATCCTTTAATCTCCGAAAGTGTACTAAAAGTTGAAGTAAATGTAAAACTCATTTATAATTTTGTATTGGTAATAAAAATACTCTCCCCTATTTATGAAATAAATAGATCTATATGGGACACACTGTATGGTGTACTTATTACCTTGGCACGTACAAATACAATGAAAATTGTTGATTCACATATTACTACATTGCCGGTTTTAAAATAATTAATCTCTGACTTTTTATCGCGTGGAAAAAAACTAATTAGTGTAATTGTATTTTTTAATCACAAAATTCGATTATGTAAATGGCAGTTTAATATCTATTATACTTTGACTAAATAATACCTATTGTACTAACTAAATTATAGATAGTAGAATTATTAATTAATCGTACAAATATAGGTGGCCTTGCGAATCAGGGAATTTGTGGTAACACTGTAAATTTAAACCGCAATGTCAATAATGATTTTTAGAATTAAAGTTGTCAAAATAGTGTCGAGAGGATTACACACAAATACAAATTTTAACTGATATATTGCAAATAACTGTTTTACAAATCAATCAAAATAATCAAGTGAAATAATAGGGATCTAATTATAGCGTACAATAATTTAAGTATAGACAAACTCATTTCAGTTACCTTTGTACGAGGTTTGTCAAAAAATATTATTACCTACCAAAGATAGTTCAATATAATCAAGGTAAATACGGTGTAATTTCACCACTCGTATTTAAAGTTCAATACACCTTAAAAGCAATATAACTCGAAAAACCCAGGAAAACATCAATCGACAAATAGCTACAAATATATTTCACAAAAAGGGAAAAGCTGCCCTCGTATACGCCATAAAATTCATCAATTATTTATGTATTTAATGAATCGAACGACCCCATCGCATAGTTTTATTTGCGGATACGTATTATGCTTTCTCGGCGATTAATTTTATTAATACTTTTATCGGGGGGAGTTGTAATTCCGTACCGATGTTGAAATTCGTCTTCCCTCTGCCAGGCCATAAAGAATACCAGTAAATTCCGGTGAAAGTCGGTCAAAGCGCGGCGGAAGAAATGCGAAATATTTAATGTGGAGATTCTGGAGTGAGCATAACGAGCTTATGTGCTTTGGTTTCGGAAGGGCTTTTTGTCGGTTTTCGACCGGGAACAGAGCTCGGCAATTATGTATTATGTATTTTCCGCAAAGATAGTTTATTCGCCGTATCGCTTATGGCAAAGTACCCTAACTTTGGGCGTTATAGAGTTTTTGTGGTTGTTGAAATTGCTACTGTTATACACCTACGCTAATTATACAAGGTGGTCCTGTTCTAAGTAATAAATGTATCTCATTTATTAGTTTATAAGTTTATCCACAAAATGACTTTATTAATCGATAGAAGTGCCTAAAAATCCTCTTATTTAATCAAAATATAATTGAGAAATACACTCAGTAGAGGACAAATATAACTTAACAGGTACCCTACTTTGCATAGGCTTTTTCAATAAAGACGTAACAATTTTGTATTTGAATAAAACACAGAATAATTGAGATATCGGGTTGAAATTAACTGCAGATCTAGTATACATTTGTATGCATGGTATTCGATGTAGTTCTACTAGTTCATATGTTCGACTGCACTAGTTCGATCGATTCTTTGGATCCAATTTTCAATTACTCTTTCACACATATCGGTCGGAATGTTGGTAATTTCGCGTTCGATATTATGCCTGAACTCCTCTAACATTGTTGGATTGTTGGCATAAACCTTTGACTAGGTAAACCCATAAAGGAAAAATCCAACGGTGTCAAATCGCATGAGCGAGGTGGCCATTCGACTGGATCAAATTTTCGATATTAAACGATTGCCAAATTGGATGACGAAGTGAAAATTGGATCCAAAGAATCGATCGCTCCCATCTAACTATTGTAACTGATTAGATATTGAAAATTTTTCTATGAGTTCACAATTTTTCGTTTATTTTATTTCAGATGAGCGACAAAGTGGCGATTTAAACCCGGTTTTCCGGCCACAGTTCGAGAACTATGGCTTTACAATGGGAGAAATTATCCCCGCAGGAATTTCAACAGCTGCAGGATTTGGCGGCATGTGAGTATTTCATGCGTTACATTAACTACATAAAATTGTTGATACCTAACCCAATTACCTACCAGAATTACCGGAAAAATAATTGCTTACCGCATAAACTTTATTATAACATACATGCATGTTGTAATTGCAATTATTAGTAAATTACAGTTTTGCTATACCCATTTCATGATGATATGTTCATTAACATACTTGTGTTACCTGTAATTGAATAAACTAATTACAGATATGTAGATTATAGTCTTTTCAATGTTAATTGAATTTTATTACATACTATAAGACTGCGATATTAGGAGTGCACATTTCATATCAACAATACAAGTATAATAAAAATGTACATTATGATGTCCAATATGGCATCAGGTAAAATTTATAGCAACTTTGATGTCTTGATTTAATTAATTTCTTCAAATTGAGTAGACTCTTTGACTATTAGATTGGGTGCAATTTTTTCATTATTTATATTTGTATAATTATCACTAGGATACTCGAATAAAAAAACTTCACCACGTTCGAATTAGGTACTCTTGAATGTTTTCTCCTACTCCTATTCTCAGTACATAAAGTAACAATTAGTGCCTATTAACATTATTAGTACTACATAATTAGTACCTTAGTTAAAATTCTTGAATAGAAAACGAATAGGATTGGTAGTATTTCATTCGAATTTTCCACGAAACAACCGTTACTTAACTGACACGAATAACCGAATCTCGCCGATGGTTAGTCGTACTTCTACGTCGGCGGTGCTACCTTGAAATTCGCCTAAACCGCCGGTACTAATCGCATTGTTTCTGGCGCGTCATCGAGAGATCGGCAGGCCTTTTACCGAGTTTTTAACCGTGAACACACCGGGTTTTCGGAGCACAGTGAGTACCGTACCGGGTACCAACCGCAATCTGAAAAATACAATTCACTATTCAGTCATTCAGTCGCTTTTCGTACCTACGAAGTGTTCAATACCAACACACTCGTCGGCGTGACGTCGATTTATTCTTTTCTTTTCAGGGTACCCCTTCGTAAATTCGCTATAGATTTATCGCAATTTATTATTCGCGCGTATTTCACTCGGCCATTAAATTTATCGAGGTGTTTCCCGCACATTTACGCACAATCGCCTAATAATTAACTGCCCGTCCGGTCTCCGTGCAGTGTCCCAAAACAGACATTCGATCGGAATCTCCATCACTAAATGTGTATGTATAAATTATTTATGTTATGCTATTACGTATACAGGACGGTGTACGGTGTGGGTTATTTACAATCTTTCTTTTATTTTTATCAGTACCTAAATAAATAAACGTGTATACAAGCCGATTGTTTTACTGCCGGGCCTTATTAATACAATAGTGGTAACTTATGTACATACACTTTTGTTTGTTGTTATTTTTGTACTTGTGATGTTTTGTCAGTGTTGCCAATAATTACGTTAAAAAATCCCGGTTGTATAAAAAGAACTCTAAATTTAGGCATATTTGTTTTGCTCTGTATGATCCTTACATTGTTTAACACTTTCAATGATTTTTTAAGCTTTCCCTAAAATCTTAAAAGAGTTTATTAATATAATTTCCTTATTTTTTATATGGTTTCCTATTAGGATGGTTCTTTTAGCTATTTTTTAGAGTAAGTGCGTTTTTAAATTATTAATTCATCAATTCAGTAATTTTTTATGCAAATAAACTCATTTTTTTATCTTTTGTTGGTAATTCCCCCAAAGCGGAAATTTTTCCACTAGTTGGCAACGCTGTGTTTGGTAAACATTAAAAAATGTCGAAGGAATTTATTAAAAATAGCGCATTAAATTTGTTCTATCATATACTATTAATGTAAAATCGAAAGTAGATTTATAATAAAAGTCGAAAATGCCAAAGACCATCGTCCTTCAATTGGGTAACTATGCTATAGCGATTATGGCTATAACGAATACGCGCATTAAATTGGTGGAATAAATAAATAAATTAATTTATTAACGATTTTTTTCTGGTTTAACCATCGCCTTATAAGGTTATTTTTTATCAATTTTTATGAGGAAACTACGTGAATTTTATACCGTGCGACTTTTTTGAAAAAAATGCCTTTATAAATATTAAAACTTGATGAAATATTAAAACATTAAATGATGATTCATCAATCATATTACTTCCAATAACAATAGTTAATGTAATGATTTCATATACTCTATACTCTATATTTATTAATTAAGCGTCGATTAATCAATCAATCTTTGTCATAAATATAGAATAATGCACCAAATATACCTATCGAGTATTAAAAGTTTGCCAAATTTTGCAAGAGCAAATTTCTCTGAAAATTAAAGCAAACAGCCAATATCTATTAAACGATGCAAATTTTAATTAGCCGGTCTCAAAAATAGCCTCTTTTCATCGCGAATTCTCCTGTAAATATTTGCAAACATTTCACCAAGATTTTTTACTGCACATTTTCAAAAAACGTAGCTACCTACAACTTCGCTCGCGCAATTGTTAACAATTTCAACATTTCCAGATCTTTACATCCGAATGCCCGAGTGCACGGTATTAAAACTTTCCGGGTAAACTTCGCTAATCTGCATATTTCAGACGAGCAGGATAATTCACCTAGTTTCGAGTTGCATCTTCTGTTACAAATTCAATGAATTTAGAAATTTCGTTTTAACTCATGTATATTCATGGGAATTTTATCTATCTATTTACCAGCTTAAACCTCTCGATTACAGTGAAGTATACGGTTTTATGTGGAATTTTGTATTGATGGCAACAATTTTTATTGTCAATTGTAATGTGCTTGTATGAATATTCATAAACTGATTTTATTAAAAATTTTTTATTAATAGGATTAAAATGCCAGTAGGTAAAGTGATATAAATTATTACAATGTGGTACAGTAATTTATTTTTCAAAATATGAACAACTGGTATTAAAAGTAACAATTTACTGTGTTTCATTGAATTGATATTTAAAATTACCTTCAATTTAACATATTATTTAGTGTTTTTGTATGGCTGTGTTGGAAATCTGTTGAATTTATTAATTCAATTCGACTGCAGAATATAAATTACTCTTATAGACACTAATAATATTAAAATTATTATCAATCGAATAGCCAATTAACCCTGTACCTCCCGAGTATTAGGTACATAACAGAAATTATGCACAATATTTTTAGCTAATTGTTAAATGTCTATTAAGGCACGTTTTAACAATTTTGTCGTGCCCTATCTCTATAAAAAATATTCACTACGGGAGCTTTATAGCCTGATTATTTTATACACGTATAGCTATATGAATTTAAGTTAATAATAGAAGCTTTCGGATGCGAATTATGCGAGCATATATTCAAATGGCGATTAAAAAAAAATTAGGTTTTAACGGAATAAACAACATAGTCAACATCTGATGCCTATCAATAACCTGACCTTGCATTTACAAAATTAAAACAGAATCTACTTTAGGATCAATATTTAATTAGCTGAAAATGTACAACAACGATATAATCAGTAATTGCTATTATGCAATAGGGTACGCGTACGTGCATTTCGGAGTGCACTCTGGAGATGCACCAGCCAAAGTAACGATATTCGGTAGATAACATTTATTAATAATTATTTTTTTTTGTAATGGCAGATTCCACGAAGAAGTTGCAAGATGTCCTAGTGGAATTTTGCGGAGCGGGACCACCTTATAAACACAATCCCGATGGGGTAAGTTTGCTGTATAAAATTCCATTTGTATACCATACATTAATAATCCATCATACAGGGTGGAGTATGAATGATCGACTTTTTTATGCAGATACATTTTGCATGTGAGTCTTATTCCAAACAGACTCATTCTTACGAGTGTAATGATTCTATTAAATCAGCTTCTATTGCTCTAGCTACTAGATATATTTTACCTTTATTTAGTTGCAATTGGGCCACCCTGTACGCGCCTTTTTTTTCCAACTTATATTAATTTTCCTCCGACATTTTAGTTCCTCTTTCCTATCCTCATTAGTGGAGTTAAGGGTTGTCTTTTAACTCGAAAAAAAGAGCCGTAAAATCTTCCCGGATCCTCGGGGCGTTTTCGAAACGAGTTTCCCCCTTTTTTTTAATCAACCGCCAACCACCTCGTAATTTTCCAAACGCTCGTCCATCATCCAGGCCGGAAAAACGGGCCGCTTTGGAGGCATCATCGTCGCCGAGAAGGAGCCATTCATTATATCGAGTGAAAAACCGCCGTATTCGGCTCGTAAACGTCGCGAAAACGGGCGAAACGTACCCCGAAAACGTCTCCCCCGAAACCGATTTTCCCTACTGCTCCGATAGCGGGCCGGAAAACTCGCGTTTTTGGAAATTCGATCGGCGTAGGAAATTCGATTTCGTCGCGAAACGTTTCGAGATCGCTGGCGGAATTGTAATGTTACACCGAATTTTCTCATACAGGGTGTCCGAAAACGACGAGCGAATTGTTTGCTTCTAGAAAGATGAAGAAGTCGCAATTCTTTCAAGATTTAGCCCCAGAAAAGTATTATACACTTTTCTTTAAAATTAGAGACTCACTTTTTTGAAGCACTATAAAATTGCCTATAGTCAAGCTAGAGACTTGAAATTTTGAACTTGGTTAGCTTCATGTCTTATCTTGGTGTTTACAAAGTAGCATCATCCTCACTCAACTTCAAGGGGTGGAACCACCCCTTCGAATGAGACCATGTTCAAAAACTTGCATCGTTCTGAGACACTATTTTTTCTGAGGAGCATCGCCAATAGTGTTAGGAAAGGAAGATGGTTGTCTGTAGGGTGTATTTTGAAGGATGCTGGGACTCAAAATACTGCATTTAAAATTCAACTTGAAGATACGACCATGCTACAGAGCAATTTTAGTCTCTTTCCAAACCACCTGTTTCTCTTTCCGACTCTCCTATCTCTAATACTATATAGTACCACAGAAGTTGTAGATTTGTAGCAACTACACGGCCAGATATCCACTTACAATATTAACTGCACCCTCCTCCGTTTTACACCTAATTAAATTTACACTTGCACCCCTTCCGGCGCAATTAATACGCCGAAACATCATCCCCCTGTTGCTCGCTAAATCCGGCAATATACGACGAAATCATCCCGGAATTTATGTTCCTGGTCGGGAGGCGCAGCGCCCTCGAGCTCGCCTTCCATCGTCCTTCGGGCGAACCGCTTCTCGCATAAGTACCCCAATTTTCCCGAATTCCCTCGTCGTCGAGACACCGTATAATCCCGTCGCCCCGACGTTATATGCGTGTGTACATTCCGCCGGATTAATGCGGCGAAAGCGGGATCCGCCGCTCCTAATCGACCGTAGATGGCGCCGGCGACTTTCATCCGGCTGAATTGAGGTTAGCGAACGGGTTTCGTCGGTTTGTAGGAGTCGCCCTGTGCAAACAAAAGGGCTGAGCGATGGGCGAGGGCGCGCTTGGATTCGAAGATACGCGTTGTTCGAGCGCGGTAATTCTAATGCTTATTAAGGCGGGGGGAACGCTGCGGAGATGATGCGGATGATGGGTCGGGAACAAACGGTTGCGGCGCGTCGGCCGGATTTTGTCCCCTTTGATTTGGCGCACTTGGTTAGAAGGGGCGAAGAGATTACAGGCGAAGGCTGTGTTACTGCATGCCTTCTAGCCTTCGGGAATATACACACACTTTGCATATTATATAGTTGAAATGCCACTGAACATTTATTATTTAAAATGTCTTTTGTTAAATTGTTTTTATTGTTAATTTTAAATGATGTTTATGGCTTTTGGAAACTAATTTTGATGAGTAATTTTACCAATAATTCGTTGTATTAAATGTTTATTCTTTTATGCAAAGCATTTTTGAGAGTGTATATACAGGGTGGTCCGTAAGTAATGGTCCATAAGTGAAAGGGAAGATTCTGGGCCTCAAAATATTACGATCTCACCCAACTTGCTTTAGTAAAATATTGAAAATAAAAAAGATACAGAGTGTGAAAGTTGAAATCAAATAAAAGATTTTTCGCAGCAGTTTGAAAGATTTTGGATGTACAGAAGTGAAAATTTGAAGACAGGTGTTTCAATGCATGAGAAATCATAATATGATAAAAACAATTTAACAAAAGAGATTTCAAATAATAAATGGCCAGTGGCATTTCAACTTCATAAATAATATGCAAAACATTTTTGAGTGTGTGTACATAGTTTGTTTTTGTTACTTTTAAAAGGGTTTTCAAAGGTTGTTTTAGGTGGGATTTTTTTAATGGGTTAGGTGGAGTTTCTGTATTTTATAAATTTTTTATTTTTGTTTTCATTGTTTTTAAAGACTATTTTTTTTATCATTCTACTTGTCGAATCTTCACAATTTAAGGCATTTTTATATAGTACATAGTTTGTTTTTGTTACTTTTTAAAGAGTTTTCAAAGGTTGTTTTAGGTGGGATTTTTTAATGGGTTAGGTGGGGTTTCTGTATTTTAAAAATATTTTATTTTTGTTTTGATTGTTTTTAGAGACTAGTTTTTTAATCATTCTAACTTGTCAATTTTTTAAACAATTTTTTTCTGCGATTGTTGGATTTTTCTACGATTAAATACCTCAATAATTTTATACCTACATTTTTTTACAAATCTTTGACATTTGTCCCGCATTTTTCACTCCATTTTTCCAATGACTGAACAACTCCAATCAAATTGTGCATTTTAACGTTACATCGCCTTCATTAAATCGCATCTTTTATAAAAAAAATATGCAATTGAATGCACAGCTATACAAACGTGGAAAAGCGTACTTTTCCTGGCACATTTGCATCTACCTCAAATAAACACCATCGGAGCCCGAGTGTATCTGATTGTGGATCGAAGTGTATATAAACGACATTCGATAAATTCGCGCAACCGGTAAACATTTTAGCTTTTCTAATGATGCTAATAACAGTCTCAACGGTCGGAATAAATCGATGTTTATTATGCGCTCGGTTCGGGCTAGACGTAATCCCGCTGTTTCGGATTATTTAACCGACGTGCGTTGTAAAATAAATAGGAAATAAACGGAAAACAGGAACAAACTCGATCGCGTTCATCGCTGGCGCGATCGGCTTTCGACGTGCAGGTGGCGCTATCGGGGCTTGAATGAAGCCGGGAAAACTATCCGTGGAAATCGACTCGATCGGACGTGAAACCGGCGAAATTAAGCGGTTTTTACTGTACCGCTTTCGAAGCTGTTATTCGAGAAGTTAGTTTACGCACTAGCGCCTATAAAGTAGCGGTTTTTCCAATCGCTTTATCGACTATACATTTATTTTATTCGTTGAAAATAAACCGAAATCTCTTTTACTTTATTGGTAACATGTTGAATCATATATACTGAGGGTTTATTTGTTCTTCTGACGTTGTTGTTGTTTGTTCCCAGTAACCACCTAGACTTAGATCGTATGATCTTATGTTATCTTTCTTGCTATTGTAAGGTCAAATATAATAGTTCATCTTTCATCAACCAAATTGAACGTTTGAAAATAACGTTCGAATATTTTTAATAAAAAAAAGTTACCCATCGAATTTATCGTGTATAAAAAAAGCCCCTCGTAAATTAATCCCAGAAATGTATAATAAAAAAACCGAAATCCAAGCAAACAATGTTCCTCCTGTACAGGCGTGGGTAGGATTGTGTATTTTTTCAATCGATTCCAGCAATTTGATTATGACAGGTCGTTTTCGAAAAGCTATCTCGATCCATCCAAACAATGGCCCGCATTCGAGCGGAGAACCGCATGGAATATAATATGGACGGCGGAAAGATTAGAACAGGAAAACCGATAGTATATTGCGTAGACAAATGGCTCTTTTAGGAACTCCTTTATCCGACTCTCTTATACACAAGTAACTCTCTTGGGTACACGAATGACTCTCATAAAAGTAGATAAAATACTCTACTCGATAAAAAATTGATTACCGAGTATCAAAATAACTTTCCATCATCTACTTGAATTTCCAAAATTTAACCCACAATGAAACGAAAAGACAATTTTCAACAAAAAAGAAATAGCGTTCGTGTGCGCATAAATCAACCAGTAAAAATAATTCAACGTTTAACGTACGCTTTTACGATCCTATCGAATTTTTATTCCCCAATAAAACGCATCGAATAATATAAAATAAGTAGTTTTTTTTTCGGGACGTATTCCAGTGACTCACATACGCGTTACCTGTTCGATAAATTCGCTCGGTCGACTGCACGGCGATAAATCAACCCAAGTACGTATAAAAGCCATCACAAGGGGCCGCACATGTTTTCTAAGCGCGAAATACGACCGCACTTAAAGGCCTATACTTGAAATTATCCGATTTTTTTTATTCGGAGCAGAACGGGAATTATTCGCAGCTGAAATGGCTACGTTAGAGCGGAATTGTTGGGAATTATTTGCTGTATTTAAGAGTTTCCAAAAATGAATCATCGTTGATTTGCTTCTCGAAATTTGTTTTTATTGTACTTTATACCTACAATAGGTTTAGAAATTAGTGTGTATTTCTTCCAGAGCTTATAGCTTTGCTATTTCAAAGATTTTTTAGAGTTTCTACAAAGTACTCTTTTTATAAAGATCCAGAAATTATTGTCTAGTCGTTTCAGAGCTTTGTGCTTTGCTATTTCAAAGATTTCTTGGAGCTTCTACAAAGTACTCTCTTTATAAAGAGTCCAGATATTAGTGTCTAGTTCTTCCAGAGCTTAGAGCTTTGC